TTTTATAATTGTCATTTAATTTTATAAGCTTTCATTTTTCAGTGTTACCTTCAATAAAATTTAAAGGAATTTGTGAAAACCCAATTTAGTTTCAATATCATAAGTGGCTATCATGTACAAACCAGCTTTATAGTTTTAAAGAACATGAAGACAATGCAAAGAAATCATGCTTTTAAGGTGTGAAAATAATGTGTTTTCTCCCACAATGCCTATCTCTGATCTATTTTAAAAAAAATATTATTATTGATGCTTTTAATTGATATACAACGTTAATTAAGGGAAGGCCACTCATGATGAAACGGTCCTGCTCGCAGATTATCGAATTTCTAGCACAGTGGACTCCATGCCTCAGGACATCTTGATGTCTGGAGATTAATGAACCTTCGGTCTAGTCTAGTGCGTAGTGTGTTCCCCACCTACAGACTGTGTAATATATACAGGGCAATGTAAACCCAGCTGCGGGCTTCCCTGTGGACTATCAGCGCAAGCTTTTATTACTTGATGCCCATCTTCAGGCATTTAGCCGTGCAGCGGTAGCCTCAAATGAAGGCCTGATCAGATAAAGACAGCCTTTGAGCTGTTTTCAATTACAGTGCATTGATCTAGTTCCTCTGGATCAGCTTCACAAATTACATGATCCACTTTTAGCTCCACTGTCTTTCCACAGGCTCTCAGTCATGCCCCCTGACGTCTCTGGACCGATCGGCGTTCCGAGCGCCCCGTGGGCTCTGATCAGTGAGGGGTGGTCATTGATTAAGCGCTCCCCGATGATCTGTCATGTGGTGGGCAGAGAAGTGATCATTGTGGATTAGTGTGATTCATCGAATTGTTCAAACCTACCTGCTCTCTGACATCAGGATGGCTTCTCTTAATTGATTGTTTGAGTGAGAGCTTGTCACTGGGAACCCTATACAGTTTTAATTCGGGTTTTTTTAGTAGACAAGAACTGTGATAGCATTTAACAATGAAATGCTGTTAAAAAGTTTTGAAAATAATTTTTACATAATAGCAATAAAATAATAGCTTTGTGTGAGGAAAGCTCTTAAATCTTCTTCACACTTGTCTGTGCACAAAGATGGCGCCATTATTTACACGTGTATCAAGAAAAAGTGGTGAGAATGGTGAGTGTTTCTATCAAGTTGTCCTGATGGGCTGCATGCAAAGATATAAATGATTTATATGAGCCAGTTCTTTTTAGCGATTCAAAAAATATACAGTACTGCGTGACCATAAGTCACAAGCAACTATTCTTATGACCCGGTTCTATTTAGCAAATCAAGAATATACTGTGATTTAGTAGATCTCTGCTCAGCCTGCACCGCAGTCTGAGCCTCGGCAGCGCTTGATATCTGCAAAACGCCAGCCCTTCCTGAAGCACCAGGGACCCCGGCCTAAGATAACACTGGACCTAGCACCTTACAAGTGATCTTCATCTGCCAGGAAGGAAGAGGACAAGGCTATGTCTCACTGCGGCCGGACCACCGTCCAAAAAGCCTAATTTATGCCCCCTTGCACCCAGTTCAGTTCTCAGTGCTGGAGGCAGTGTGTTTGTTGCAGCCTCTGGGCCTGTTCAGTTTCACATTCCCATGCAAATAAATGCTGGTATAGCGAACAAAATAAAACACAAACATACTCGAAAATAGAGCTCTTTTCCTCTTCCACTTATGACGAGCACCAGGCTCCTACACAGCGGTCTGTCTAGTAGAACTCCTTGCTACCCAAGGCCTGGGAGGCCATCCACGGAGTGTCAGAATGGGTTTTGAGGATAATAAAACGAGTTTACTCTCTACAATTTGCTTGCAGACTCCGACGTAGCGGCGTGGTTCCCACCTCGGTAAGGAGCAATGCATCTCTTGTCCTCCGCACCCAAGTGATGAATTTACTGGCGAAAGGAGCTGTAGAAATGGTCCCAACAGCAAAGACTAAGTCAGGCTTTTACAGCCGTTACTTCCTAGTCCCCTAGAAAGATGGTGGTCTCAGACCCATCTTAGACCTCAGGTGGCTGAATCACGCCCTTATGAAACGGACGTTCAGCAGATATTACTTTATCCCCTCGGAAATATGCCCAGGGGACTGGTTCTTCTCTCTGGACCTGATAGATGCATACTTTCACATCCAGATAGCCCCCCCATCACAGGCAATTCTTGAGATTCTTTTTCGAGGGAGTGGCATATCAGTATACGGTCCTCCTATTCGGTCTGTCCCAGGGACAAAGTTCATGGATGCAGCCCTCACCCCTTTGAGACAGATGGAAATCCACATTCTGAACTATCTCGACGACTGGCTCGTTTTGGCCCAGTCAGAGGCGGAGCTAAAACTCTCAGATACCCATGTTTCTCAGCCACTTTAAGTGCCTGGGGTCGATTTCGCCAAGAGCTTGCTGTCCCCCAGCCAACGGATTCTGTTACTGGGAAGAGTCTTCGACTTGGCCCTAATGTGGGCCGCAGTCACGTCATAGCACGCTCCGACCATTCAGCAGCTCGCGAAATTTGATTTTCTTCTAGATCGGACCCTCTCCCACTGTCAGGTCTTTTCAGAGGATACTAGGCCACATGGCCTCTGTACTTCAGTTAGGTCTGCTGCATATGCGGCCCCTACAGTACTGGTTGAAACCTGTCCAGTCTGGCATGGCGCTGGGGGCGGTTACCAGAAGGAAAGTGCTCTCGACAAATGCTTCCAACACATGTTGGGGAGCTCTGTGCGAAGGCAAACCACCCTTCCGCTCCTGGTCAAACGAGGAAAGTTGGCTACATATCAACTGCCTGGAAATGATGGCTGTCAAGCCTTTCAGACTTTCCTACCAGACCTGAAGGGAAACCAGATCTTGGTCCGATCGGACAGCATGACAGTGGTAGCTAAATCGCCAGGGCAGGCTCACCTTAAAACTTCTGTTCAAACTGGTGAAACACCTCCTGGTATGGGCACACCACAACCTGCTCTCTCTGAGAGCAGCCCACGTGCCGGGCAAACTGAACCAAGGGGCAGACATGCTGTTTCAAAGCAACGTCCCCTCGGAGAAGTGGATACTTCATCCCCACACAGTTCACAAACTATGGGAAATCTTCGGGAAGGCAGAGGACGACCTTTTCACCTCAGAAGACAACTATCACTGCCCAACTTATTTCTCGAAGAGCAGGGATGTGCTGGCCCACGACTTGCCCAGCCTTCTCCTATACAAACTTCACCCGATCGCACTGATCCCTCAGATCATCAGGCGAATCAGGGAATACATACATATAGTCATTTTGTGGCCCCCCCTCTGGAGGAACCAACCTTTGTTGGTTGAACTGACGCAGCTGCTCACAGCACCCCCATGGCCCATCCCTCTGAGACAGTGGGCACTGCTCCTTTGGCCTCTCAATTGGGAGCCTATGGACCTCCCCGAGAAAGTCTTAAACACCATTTTCAAGGCCTAGTGCCCCATATGCAATGCCCTTAAATGGTCTGTGTTCTACAGCTGGTGCACAGCCCGGAGTGCAGACCCCCTCTCTTGCGACATATCTCTGATATTGTCTTTCCTGCAGGAGCTGCTGGATAAGTGACGTCCCTTCCTCCACTTTCAAGGTTAATCTGGCAGCCATAGCATGGAACGCCACTGTGGCTGGCCAAACTGTGGGCAGAAACAACCTTGTGGTTTTTTTCACGAAGGGGTCCATGAGGCTGAATCCACCCCCTCACCGTCCCTACATGGGACTTGTCTAGAGTGGTAAGAGCCCTCCCTTTGAGCCATTCTAGTCGATCTCTGACCACTGACGCTAAAGACCATACTTCTTCTAGCACTAGCATCGGTCAAGCATGTGGGTGACATACAGACACTCTCTGTGAATGCCTCATGCTTGGAATTTGGGCCAAACGACTGCAAAGTTTGGCCTCAACCGAGCCCAAACCACTATGAACTTTTCTCCCTACTATATGGGGTAACTCTGTGGCTATTGCCTATTGCTATAATAACTTTGTGGCTCTGATCGGGGTCTGGGCCACTGGTAATCAGCTATTGCCTTTTCTTACCTAACCAGCTCTCGGCCCTTCTAGTGCCTTAGCCATACAGGTTTACTGGAACGATTGTCTAGGGCAGGATCGACCTCTATGAGTTATTTCTGGTTTACGTTCCTAGGCATCCCTAGCGAAATGAGTATTCCCTATTATGTCTTGGTTCCTCTAGGTTTTGCAAGGGCTTAAGGCCAAGTATATCATTATAGTCGTTCTCCAGCCATAGCACGCCATGATTGTATTGGTTCCCCATAACAGCATCTAGTGACGCAGTACGAGTAAAGTATTGAAGGGGAAACTGAGATACAGGAACAAGTACTGCATTTCAGGCCATGCTATATTTCTGCACGACTCTCAGTTTGTCGCTTCAGTCGAATTTAATCTGAGTATCCTATGCCTGATCACCTGCTTTTATAGCCAGATACCACGCCCATATTGTTGTGCTCTGGCGGGCTTCTCTGCCATAGGCTCGTGCAGCTCCGCTGCCTCGCCATTGGTTAGTTTTATTACTCTGCACGAACCAATGGCCGTGCAGTTTCACTGCGTGATTAAAACGGCTTCAGAATTCAGAGAAAAACGATTTTTCCCATAACAGCTTCTAGCGACAAAGTACGAGCAAAGTATCTCAAGGAACCGAGGTTACGTAAGTAACCGAGTACGTTTTAGGTTCTGAGATGGTGCGGTCCATTGCCGACAGCCATATATAACACTGGGATTAAGACGAATCCGCCCACATAAAATCAGAGTGCTGACATAAGCGAATACACTATGATAGTCTTTGCACAGCTGGCGTCCCTTTTGGCTGTAAAATGCACGCACATTTACATGCCCATTACACATGCATCATATTTTCATGCACAAGCATGCACATGTTTCTGAAAGAATAATGCATGTCACAGCCCACCCACAAACACACAAATTTGCTTGAATCATGATAAAAGTCTAGCAACTCACACATTTTGTTTCAGTATTCTGTCATTTCATGAACATCCTCTTTTTTTTTTTTTCAGGTCCTCCTTTACCTCCTCAGGATGTGCAAGTTCAGTTGGGACAGACACCTGGAGTCTTGCAGATCCGGTGGAAGCCCCCACCCCTCACTTCTACTGGCACTTCCAATGGAGCCAGTGTAATCGGCTACATAGTCTGCACTAAAGGTCAAAAGGTGAAGTTTTGCTGCTGATTCTTACTATCATCATGCCATTTACTCATAACAGCTACTGATTTGCATTAAGCTGCTTGCCCTGCTTATGAAGCCAATGAAAGGTCCAAGATCAGCTTTGTAGGTTGAACATGTTATGCTAGTTCACATGTTTGGAGTGCAGGTTTCATTCTGCTCACTGGCACCATCTGGTGATCGCTTGTGTCGGGTTTATGCAAGTCATTTTGGACAATCAAGCAAAAACATATTTTGAAATGATATCAACTCCTTTCTGTGAGACAAAAAAAACTGTATATTCAGAGTACATAATTATCATGTATGAATATATTTTTCGAAGATGTTTAGCATGTACCAGTAGGGTTTAAATAAAGCAGGTCTCAACAATGAAAATAGATGTTCTAGGACCATTGTGACAAAGTTTCAGCCCTGTTGACAGGGCTGCATAGTGACAAATGTCACTTTGCAGTTTGGCACAGTTTTACATTCATGAATCATGCAGTATGTGTTTTTGTATGCCTGGCAAACATTTGGATTTCTATAATGTATTAAGTATCTAGCTGACTAAAATGTCAAAATTGTGAGAATTTTGTAAATATCATTTGTAATGGGTTGTAATTTTCAGCTATCATTGCACATTTTTTATTTATACATTAATATATTCAATATATAAATAAAATATGTATACAAAATATATTAACATATTATAAATTATATATATATATATATATATATATATATATATATATATATATATAATGATATACTGTATTCACTACCATTCAAAACTTTTAGATTGGTAAGAATTTGTAAAGATTTTTTAAAATTCTATTTCAGATAAATGCTGTTCTTTTGAACTTTCTATTCATCAAAGAATCCTGAAAACCATTGTACACACCTGTTTTCAGCATTGTTAATAAAAATAAATATTTCTTGAGCAGTGAATTAGCATATTAGAATGATTTATTAGAAGGATCATGTTACTAAAGACTGGACCAATAATGCTGGAAATTCAGCTTTGCCAAAAAAAATAAAACAGTGATTTTAAATTGTCAAAATATTGCACAATATTGCTGATTTTGCTGTATTTTTGGATCAAATAAATGCAGCCTTGGTGATGGTGAGCAGAAGAGACTTCTTTTGAAAACAATCAAAAATCGTACTGAGCTAAAACTTTTGAATGGGTATGTGTGTGTATATTTACTTTAGTGAAAAGTATAAACACAAATTGAAAATAAAATTGATAATTTTTTGTGATTATGACAGTGAAAATATCAAATAAAATAACAGGGCAAGTACAAATCTGATTAACTGTCTGACTGGACCAGAGGAAAACACCTTATTGTTCAGTCTTGCCTAGGGATATTTGTTCATCCTGTATTTCTGTTTGTTTGTTTTCAGATAGCAGAGATAATGTACCCCACAGCAGATTATGTTACGGTTGAGCTGAATCGTATCCAGTGTCTGGAAGCACGGGAGGTCGTAGTGAGGACAATATCAGCACAAGGAGAGTCACAAGACTCTCCCGTGGCCACCATTCCGCACAGCCTCCTGGTGCCTCACCATGGACACCCTCACCTCCAGTCTCACCCTCAGACTCACCCACCTCCCTACCCACAAGCCTACCCCCCAACCCATCCTCAACCTCACGTCCAGCCTCACTCTGGCCCACCACCCCACCCTCACCCTCATCCCCCACCCTCACATCCCCACTCCTCGCCCTCCCTGTACCCCTTATCTAAACCCAAACTCCTACCAAGTGCCAGAGACCCCCATGCCAAAGATCCTGAGATGAGCAGGCGACCGGGACAGTCCTGGGAGCCGCATCCCCGGGCCCCGTCACCCCTACCACCCCCTTCGCACTCAGGGCACACGCTGGAGCCCCCTCACATAGAGGGCCGGCGCTCGCCCTCCCCTCAAAGGATCTTGCCTCAACCTCAGGGAGCGCCCATTCCTAACACAGTGGCTCGCGCTATGGCCCGCCAGGCAGCGCAGAGAAACGCCCCGAACAGTAGGGTGAGTCAGTAAATGAGGATATTGATGCTAAGATGTCAATATACATTAGATGATTGCAAGCATACTATGAAGCAGCTTGGCAAAATTAAAAAAAAAAATTAAAAAAACTCAGTATCTTTAGAAAAGCTTATATTTGTAAATTGGGGTTGATTAATTTGTACTGTATTTAACTGTGTTCATTGTATATCCAATATTTAATTTGTAAAGTAACAATTTTTTAATTATAAAGTTAGCATTATAACTTAATTATTATAGAAAAAAAACTTCCTTTTGTGTAATTCAAGTGTTTGTATACAAATCAGTTAATTGTAACCTTCGATATTATAGTATTGGTCCAGTTGAGTCCCTGTATAGTTTACAGCATAGGTTTTTGAAATTGGATTAACCACAAGCTTGTGAATCTGAATTTAAATCGAATCAAATCTTGAAATTTATGTCAATACCCACCCCTAATATATATTATCTATTATAGATTTTTTTTAAATAATAGTAATAAACAATTTACTGCAATATTTAAATATAAGAATTCTATATGTATAATGTATTTGCATTTATTATGCAGTATTGTTTAGTATGATGTAAGTATGATGGGGTGGTGATGGCGCAGTAGATAAGACACATGCCTTTGGTGTGAGAGACCCGGGTTCAAATCCACTTTGAGAGCCCAATGTGTCCCTGAGCAAGACACTTAACCCCTAGTTGCTCCAGAGGCTTGCGACCTCTGACATAAAAAGCAATTGTAAGTCGCTTTGGATAAAAGCGTCAGCTAAATTAATAAATGTAAAATGTAAATAACATTATCAAAAAGTATGCTGTTTTAATTTAAAGGTGCATTGCGCAACATATTATGTTAAAAATAGCCGTTTTGTAACCCATACATGCTTAAACAATCGCCTGATGGGCTGAACGGGCCCTTCTCTGATCACTGCGATCGCCTCTATAATCCTGTACAGTGAAATAAATAAGAGGGATTCGGGCTCGAATTTGAGACCGGGCTTGCCTGGCTCGCAGTTTCGCTTGTCGCCAGAGGGGGCGTAGTTCTGAAAGATTTGATTTTATTCATAATGATTTTTAATCAGATTTCTGATCATGATCTACTCTCATCTGCTTTGCTGTACATAATGACAAATGGAGACATTAAAGTGTCTTTTTCACATTTATTATTCTCAGGGAAGTGCCTTTTATCAAAAACATTGTCTGGTTCTCAATTGATACTCATTAGTAGTTAGCTATAAAATAAGTAGAAACAAAAATAAATTGCTTCTTAATAATACAAAATGGTTGAAAATAGATGCATTTCCCAGGAAAGATGCAGTTTACCACAAATATCATGTAGAACACAACCGTTGGTCTGCAGCTGGTGGCTGACTCTGCTCCATGTCGTTGAGCTCCAGGTGATGCCTAACAATATGAGCCCGCGCATTTGTTGTGCTGCCAAAGTACTTGGTCTTCGTTTTGCACTGTGTGTGTCATGTCCAGCGCAGTGCTTCCAGGCGTTCGAAAAACCAAAATGACGAATGATATATATATGTGTGTGTGTGTGTGTGTCACGGAGTCAGACAGACAGGTGGTAAGTAAAATAGTGTTTATTTACAGGTTGCAGATCCAGACAGAGATATGGTAAGTATGCTAGCAGACGATATTCAGGATGGAACTTAGCTGAAGGATACCAGAGTCTTTGTTTACAGATGCGGATGGAGAGTCACTGGGAACAGGCTGATGACCGGAGACTGGAGACATGAAGGTTAGCAGGAGATTGATGAATGTAACTCAGGTAGGTAGTGGGAAAATTGCAGGTAAGTAGCGTGATAGTCTGTAGTGTCATGTAGAGATGAGACCAGACAATGAGTGTGTGAAAATGAGTTGAATATATAGGGAGGTGAACTGATGCAGGTGATTGTGATTAAAACTCAGGGGACTGTAAACGAATGGGAGGAGTGAGTGATGTATCAAGGACTCAGCTTACGGCAGGGCAGGCGGAGGCAGATGCGGAAGTCCCTGATCGAAAGTCACACCTTTTGTCCAGGCTGATACTGGTGAGGTTCAACACGATGACGATCCGCTTGGTCCTTGTGTCTCCACGCTGTCTGCTGGAGGTCCACGTACCATAAAGGAAGAGCCGACTCCCTCTCTCTCTGATGGAACCAGTAATCGACAGCTGGAACCTCACCCAACCAAGGGAAGAGTGAAGGTTGATAACCCAGGACACACTGAAAGGGGGTGAGCCCAGTGGTGGATTGCTGAAGGGAATTCTGGGCGTACTCTGCCTAGGGAAGAAACCGGCTCCAGCTGTCCTAGTACTGGTGGCAATAAATCCTAAGATGTTGTCCGATCTCCTGGATCTTACGGTCAGTCTGGGCTTTTGTCTGAGGGTGGTATCCAGAAGATAAGCTGACAGTAACCCCAAAGAGTCTGAAGAGGGCTTGCCAAACTCTTGAAATGAGCTGTGGATCTCTGTCCGACACTATGTCCTCAGGGATGCCGAAGTTTCGAAACACATGATTGAAGAGGGCCTCTGTGGCCTTCGAAAAGTGATCCACAACGATGAGGACACAAGTGTGGTTATTGGATCTGGGAGGTCCATCATGATATCAATTCCAAGGTGGAACCACGGTCGTTGTGGGATAGGAAATGGCACAAGCTTCGCTTCCGGGAGTCTTCTGGGGGTGTTGGTAATGGTACAGACTGAGCATCCTCGAACGTACCTGGAAACATCCCATGAAATGGATGGCCACCAGAACCGATTACTGAGGAGCAAGAGGGTACGCCTGCTACCTGGATGTCCAGAGCACGGAGCAGTATGAGCTGAGTCCAGAAGGGCGGCACGAAGATGGAGAGGTACGAAGATGCGCCCCTCTGCACCTCCTGGTGGAGTGGGATGACAAGGGTTTTCCTGGGAAATCTGCTCGTCAATGTTCTAGATGATGGGGCTGATGATCATGGCTGGAGGGAGGATAGGTTCTGGTAGTGAATCTTCGGTTGAAGCATGATGAAGACAAGTGACAGCATCTGCTTTGTTAGGTATTCCAGGTTGCATTGATCAGTTATAACCTCAAACGGGTGATTAGCTCCCTCCAGCCAATACCTCCATTCCTCTAACGCAAGCTTGATGGCGAGCAGCTCCCGATTCCCAATATCATAGTTCCGCTCCGCTGAGGACAGCTTCTTAGAGTAGAAGGCACATGGATGGAATTTGGGAGGATCACCCTGCCGCTGTGATAGAACTGCTCCAACTCCTGTTGAGGATGCGTCCAGCTCAACAACAAACGGTATATCTGGGTTAGGATGAACCAGGGTGGAAGCGGTCAGGAAGGCTTATTTCAGTTGTTGAAAGGCTCAGATGGCTTCAGGAGATAAGGACAGAGACTTGGGCCGGTCCTTTAGAGACCAGGTCAAATGAGAACTGATATTCTAACTGATATTCTATAATTTCTATAGAAATTGACGAATCCGAGAAACCGTTGAAGATCCTTCACAGTAGAGGACAGGGGTCAGTTCTGGATAGTTTCCACCTTGGTGTATGATGTAGCCCAGTGGGCACAGTGGTGGTGTGAAACTCACATTTCTCCAGTTTCAGGTACAGTTTATGAGCTCTCAGTTTCTCCAAAACTAGAGTGACATGTCGCTGATGCTCTGCAAGGGATGAGGAGTAGATGAGAATATTGTCAATATAGACAACCACAATTCTGTTGAGATACTCTCAGAAGACCTCGTCCATGTAACCCTGGAAGATAGCTGGGGCATTGGACAGTCCAAAAGGCATGACTCGATACTTATAGTGACCTGAGGGCGTGACGAATGCCGTCTTCCATCCATCACCTCGTCGAATGCAAATCAAGTTGTACGCACTCTTGTAAATTGAACTTAGAAAATATGTGGGCTCCACGCAGCTGCTCCAATGCTGCAGGGACCAGAGGAAGGGGAAAACTAAACTTCACAGTTTGAGAGTTGAGATGACGATAATCAATACACAGCCTCAAGCTTCCGTCCTTCTTAGCCACGAAAAAGAAGCTAGAAGCGGCATGGGATGTAGAGGGTCGAATGATCTCCTGTTGAAGAGCCTCCTCCACATACTCCTCCATGGCTTTCTGCTCCAGGATGGACAGAGGATAGACGCTTCCTTTAGACAGGATTGCTCCAGGTAGTAGTCGATAGCCCAATCCCATGGCCGGTGAGTTGATATTTTGGTCGCCAACTGCTTGCTAAACACATCCTGGAACTCCCTTTACTCAGCAGGAATATCCACCATGTGATGGACCTCCAGACTCTCAATGGACGTTGAACACAAAGGAAACTCAGACTTTTCAACTGAAGCTAGACAGGAATATGAGCAGTCTTCTCTCCAGCGAAGGACCTCCCCAGATTTCTAGTCGATGATGGGTTGATGTTGGACGGTCTGGTCTTCTGTCACAGATGAAACAGGAGTCAGACAGGTGGTAAGTGAAATAGTGTTTATTTACAGGTTGTAGATCCAGACAGAGATATGGTGAGTATGTAAGCATATGGTATTCAGGATGGAACTTAGGATAACCAGAGTCTTTGTTTACAGATGCGGATGCAGAGTCACTGGAAACAGGCTGATGACCGGAGACTGGAGACTGAACTTCTGTGTGAAGGTTAGCAGGTGATCGATGGATGGAACTCAGGTAGGTTGCGGGTAAGTTGCTTGATAGATCTGTAGTGTCATGTAGAGACGAGATCAGACAAGACAATGTGTGTGTGAAGAGGAGTTGAATATATAGGGAGGTGAACTGATGAGGTGCAGTTGATGGTGATTAAAACTCACGGCACTGTGAACGAAGGGGAGGAGTGAGTGAACGAGTAGGTGGAGTAAGTGAGGCTGGTGGAATCCTGACACTGTATATATTAAATAATCTGTTAAATAATGTTCTTAGTATTTCCTTCCTTTGATGGGCCAGCAGGTCAATAGTTAATAGTTTCAATAGGTCAATAGTTTGACCTTAAATTTCATAAAACTGAGGACCAGCTGGGATTTTTTAATATACACATGTGCTACTCAGTTCATTTTACAAATCTCACACTTCTCTTTTTATTCGCAAATGCGAGTGAAATGCTTGCGATGTGAAACCCTGACTTGATGGTTGTGATATGTTTCAGGTGGAGAGGAGGAACATCTTCAGTGAGAAGGGTAATACTTCGCAGTCTTTAAACTCAGATGAGGAAGAGGACGGGTACGATTCCCCCCACACCAGGCGAAGAGGAGCTTCTGTGGACGAGTTTCTCAGAGGTTCTGAGCTGGGCAGACACGTGAGTCTTAGGAATGATCATCTTCTCAACCATAAAGTGCTTCGGTTCTGTTATTGCACAGGGAAACTTTTCTGGGGGGACTACATTTTTCATGGGGTTTTAGCTTAAGACGTTCATACACTTCTGTGTGTGCCCAAAAAATGTCAATAATGTTTTTTGAGGTCACCTTATACTTATTTCTTTGTTTTATTTCTTTAATTATTTAATTTGTGCTGTGTTTTCTTATTGAATAATAATAATATTTATTTATTTATTTAGCACATCTCAAGACATTTGCTTGCCAAAGGAACAGAGAAAAGGAAACATACAAATAAATACATAAAAATATACAAACCAAATATAAAATCTAAGAAAATAAAAAAAAAATGTGATTAGGGACAAAAACGATGGACCAGAAACATGATGAGATTTCCTTTGAGTTTTGAAGATTTCTTCCTGGTGTCTCTCATGGTTTTGTTAAACTCTCTGTACCTTCAGCATCATCAATACAGCCACAGTGAGGAGTACTACACCGAGAGCAGTCGGGGCTCTGATCTGTCTGACATCATGGAGGAAGATGAGGAGGAGCTGTACTCGGAGATGCAGCTGGAAGAAGGCCGCCGCCGCAGCATCAACTCACACAACACGCTTAAGGTATGGAACAGACACCCTTCCGGCCGCCGTCTGTCTTGGGCGTGGGCCACAGGGCCGCAGGCTAGAGGCTGGGACAGACGAAGGGGGGTGGAGTATGCTGTGGTCTGTAGGGCTCCTCCGAGGGGGTGGTACTAGCTGGTTGGCACTTCAACCTTACAGAATCGGTTTGAAAGGCCAACTGCAGTTTGGTTAAGGTGGTTTTTAGAGGTAAGCTTATTTTTTGTTATAAAGTAACTCCTTGGGATTGTCCTGAATATGACTAGCGCTGTTTTTTGTTGTGATTTTGAATTTAAAACGGGGGGTGTTAGACCTCTGATGTTGTACACAAAGCTTGAGCGACAAGATCTTAACAGCTCGCCCCATCCTCAGTCTCTCCTGGGTCCTAAGATTGGGTCACTTTGCACTACCGAACTTCGACGTCATCCAGTCATTTAGCCAGCTTTGTATAAGCCTGTCCAGTCATACAAAGCTCTATACATCTGAATGGCTTAACCTGAGGCTGCACACACAATGCATGAGTAGACAAGGCATCTGATATGCTTTACGCTCTCCAGGTGTTGCAAACTGTGTTGTTCAGTTTTAAGTACTGCATCATTATGGATTTGTGAATTACTCTATAAAGTAGGATTGGCTCTTGTTACTTGGAATTGACAGGATTATTTAGCAGATTCTTCGATTTATTGCATATGACAATCATATATGTGCAAATATATACTTTATGTATTTGTTTGCCTTGCCTTAAGTGTTCTACTCTTGGAATATAATGCCATGGTTCTATGTGTTTGTGATTACTATTAAATAAAGACAGGGTTTGTTTGTGCACTGTATGTATAAGTATTACATAAATTTATCCTGTTTAAAGTGTCAAATTAGCTTCTGCTTGATCAGGTGAAAATGCACATATCATTCCAAGGGCATTTTGGGAATCTCATTTAAGTAAAGTATGCTTAAATGAAACAGTTATCCACTTTTGATTGTGTTTGTCTCATGGTTACACTTCTGTTAAGTTTTACTTTTCTCTGTGTAATTTTAAAATTTTGTGAATATCTGTCTCTTCATGAAAATGTCTAATATATAAAAATGTTTAATAAGATTTCTTTTAATATAGATATGAATAAGTATAATGCAGAAAGGGTAACACAAAATACATCATGTATTGAATATATGAAGCAATAAATGGTATATTATATTTCAGTTTTTGTCATTTTTGTTTTGAGTTATATTTTTGGAGACTCATTTGGGATTGTGGTATGAAAGCTAACACCTTATATAGATTATATTTATTTGTTTTTGGATATATTTTGCCTCCAATTGCAGACAACATTGTGCTACAGTTTAGTATGATTCAGAAAAATATATTTGCAGCATTGTTGACCTCAAATAATATTAAAAAAAAATTCATTCTGCTATAGCCATCACCACTTAATATCTGCTATGTGTATCAGGATGTATACATTTTAAACCACCAATCACAATTTTCATACACAATTTGAAATAATTAGAAAAGATTTGTATTTTTAATAATATATTTTTTAAATTTCCATTCCAGGTTACTGGTCTACTTTTGAACACAATTCACTATTCACTTTTGGCTTGGCAGACTAACCTCCATTTTGTTTTTTGTTGTTTTTTTTATTTATTTTTATTTTTTTATTTTTTTTTATTCATGTATAGTCCTTAGATTTGTTAGTCTTGATCCTTTTATTGCCTGTTTTTAATTCCTAATATTATGTGTTCTGAATACTTATATGTATATTTTTTGTTGTTGTTGTTGTTGGACTGTGCTTTGTTAGTGGATTGTCTCAATGAACCCTGCATATGTGACACTCTCCGGTTCTCATTTTCTGTATAGTTTGCATTTCCTGACATTTTCCTTCTACAGATTCCCTTCCGTCGCATGTCATGTCCGTCATGGAATGAGACTGCATGCCCTACATTCGACCATGATCTCCGATAACTAATTCTGTCTTTATTTTGTCTTTCTTTTCCCATTTTGTTCTCTATTTGCACACTGTTTATTCTTCTCTGCCTGTTCTAACACCACCAAACAAAATCCTCCAAAACAATCCCGATTTTAACTAATTGAAAAACATCCAAATCTAACTGAAACTTTGGCTCCTTCCTCGTCCATCACCCTCTCTGGCCTCTAAAAGGCGTATTACAGGCGTCAGGATCTAGCGGTGGAACGAGACAGTTGGGACTTGCAGAGGGAGGTGGTACGACAGCGCTCCTTGCGCTCCCACAAGCGGCTCCACAGCATCCCAGAGGTTGCCGAGGAGGATCCGGACACTGGGGTGGAGGTCATGGGTCAGCGGCTGCGTTTCGAGGAGGCTCGTCCAGGCACTCCATGCAGGAGCCCAAGGCCATACCACCAGGACTTGCGGCAGCCGAACCACCTTTCCCCAAGTAAGTCCATCCGCAGGCTGCAGAGGCAGCGCTCCTCTCCACGCTACACCTCCATAGAGGAGCGGCCGCAGTGCTGGAGCAGCAGCAGTAGCAGGCAGAATACTAAGAGCCCGGATAGTGGACTAGACTGCGGGAGCGAGGAGGAGGGTTCGCTTGGTTACAGAGGAGGCTACCACTCATACACGGGGGGCAGTCAGCTGCGAGTGGGTTCTGGGCCCAACATGCGGGTTATTCACTGCGAAGGGCCAGTGGAGCGTCGTGCTCTGGCTGCCGGCAGGAAAAGATCACTGACCCGCCAGTGCAGTGTGGAGGAGGACTTCCTGGACAACATTCCAGAGACAAGGAGCATGCGGGAGTCGTACCACCATTACCACTATCATCCGCACCATCACCAACCCCAACGCAGGTTCCGGAGCGAAGGCAGGCTGAGCGAGGTTGGCAGGACCTATCACAGGGACATTAGGGCCTACTCTGTGGCCAGACTCAACAGGGCAATGGATGAACCCCTGGTGTGTGTCTCTTACCCCTCCTCTCACCTTTCTGCCCTCTTCTCATCTACCAACTGCTTTTTGTTCCCATAGATAAGCAATAAAACCATTCTTCTGTTCGTGGTGTTCCACCCAGTCTGTCGTTGGTTAATTTGTTTTGGTTTTTCTCGTTTCACTTTTTTTGTTTGGTCTATTTTGCTAGACGTTGCTTAACTTTGTTGATTATTGTTTAATTTCACCTTTTGATATTGCTATTGTTTTTTTTTTTTTTTTTTTTGTTTGTTTGGGGGGGGGGGGTGCTTGTAAGATATTTCTTGACTTTCTTGTTTTTTTTTTAGATCTCATGTGACTTTATTTGATTCCTAGAGTGTCAAGTGAGATTTCTTTTGGATGTGTAGGTTTGTTTTGATTACCTAAAGGCCATTTCTGAGTGTTTCTTGTTTCTGTTGTAAGAAGAGCCATAAATACACTGACAATGTTTCCACAGCCCTCTAACTTAAAAATTAGAGTCCATCTTTGAAGCAGTTTAAGGGACCATTCACATATCGTGTTTTTGCATGCTCTAGTTCGTTATTTCAAATGTAGATGTGCGAGAGGTGCACTCATAATATAAGCGATGCGTTCGCAACACGCTTGTTTTCAGGCACAGCGAGATAAAAAAAATCAAAACTTTTTGGAACGCCACAAGCGCACGGCATGTCATGTGACAAGAATCAACCAATCAGCATTCACCCTTTCCGTAACAACATTGAAAGCTCAATTAACATGGAAGAACAGCTGACCATAGAGATTCAGAGATATCCAGAACTTTTTGACTCATCAAGTGGTCATTATTTTGATTCAAAGAAATTTGATTCAATTCAATTCAATTTTGGAGATTGCAGTTCATGGTTGCATAGCAATGACTGATGCCACGGGAGCGCATGTGAATGGCCCCTAAAGCAGTGTTTCCTAACTCTGTTCCTCGAGGCACCCCAGCAGTACACATTTTGGATGTTTCCCTTATCTGACCCATTCATTTCAGGTCTTGGAGTCTTTAATAATGAGCTGATGAGTTGATTCAGGTGTGTTTGATTAGGAGGAGTTTAAAAATGTGTAGTGTTGGGGTGCCTCCCGGAACAAGGTTGAGAAACACTGGTTTAGAGTTGTTTATTGGAAGCTGAACACACCAAAATAAAGATAAATCTACACATTCAACAGTGTGGTGTGGATAATTTCCCTTTCGAAAATAGTCACTTCGTATTGCGCAGCTAATACACAGTGGGGAAATTCCTTTTCCTTGAAATATTAAAGCAATAATTTAAAACGCAATGCAGCTGCACAGTGAAACACAGCAGAGCGTCTAGCTCGACCATTGCCTGTGCTCCACATCCAATGGCCGAGCACCTCAGATGCACAACCCAATCAACTGACTTGGCGCCGAATACATCAGAGTGCGCCCTAAATGGGCATGGCTATAAAGATCACTTATTTTGCCCAAAATATCAGATTTACTTAAAGGGGTCATGAACTGGTTTTTAAATGTTATTATATTGTTGTCTGATGTCAATTTATGACGTTTTCTTGGTTTTTACATTCAAAAACATCAAAATGAATAAGTAATAGGCTATTTTGTACCCAAGTTTTTAGCCTACCTGAAAAACGCTCAGTTCTTATGGGCGTCTCGCACTGAAGACTTGGAAGTAAACGCCCACTGCTGTGAGTGGATAACAGTTTTGTATATTACAATGAGTTTAACTCACCCGTCGATGCACTTGGGGGAAATTGTTTTGAAAACGTCCAATGTTGTAAAATGGCAACCGGAATGATTCGACCCAGAGTCCGTGTGTTGCACAATTCCTGTCAGATCCAATATAGACGGCACAGCACCGTTCTTTACTCTTAATCGGTCTGCAAATCCAGACTTGTTTACAAAACAATCCTCAGTGAAATGAAGCGAACAGCCTCTATGCTCTGAAGTGGCCACGGCATGGTCATCTACTTTGGGTGCGCTCAACCCAGTTCAGAGCTCAGGTCATTACATTATTGGCACTTTCCCTCTCATAGAATGATGGGAAGGCTAATCTACTTTGTCCCGTTAGAGCTCTAAAGATTTACTTAAAGCATTCTGCGCCGTTTAGGCAGTCAGAAAAGCTATTTGTTTGCTTCGGCCGATGGGGTTCCAGTCACGAAGCAGAGACTATCCAGATTGACGCTGGCATACACCTCTGTGGGCTAGGTTTGTCCCATAGGCGCTATAAAGCCCATTCCATGAGAACCATGGCTTTTTCGTGAGCAAGCAAAAAGTAGTCCTTGGACGGTTATGAGCCCCAGTTTTTATTCACGAAACCGACTTTTTCTGGTTAGTGTCACTTTACTGGGAGACTGATTATGGCTTGTTCTGTTGAGCCTCGGGGTGTTTCCCTAGGCTCCAGTTGATTCAGCAGTTGCTAATGTGCCTCATTTTCCATTGCGTCCCCACTGCATATTAGCTACGCAATATGAAGAGATTGTTCTTGAAAGGGAATGTACTCGGTTACTAACGTAAGAGTAAGGGAACGAGTATTGTGTAGCCTGTCGCACTATTGCAATCTGCCAGGATGTGTCACTTCAGTCGATTTAAACTTGATGTTTTGGCCGAAATTAGCGACCTTTATAGGCTTAGGCCACGCCCATTTAGGTGCGCTCTGACGTATTTGGCCCCAAGTCAGTTGATTGGGTTACGTGTCTGAGGCACTCGGCCATTATATGTGCAGTTGCTGCAGCACAGCCAATGAGCGAGCTAGACTCTCTGTTAAGTTTCACTGTCCAGCTGCACTGCATTTTAAATTGTTGCTTCAATATGTCGAGGAAAAGGAGTTACCCCAATACAGGGACCCAAGGTTACATTAGAAACAGAGTATTTGTGTAAGCCAATAAACAGTGTGGTGCATTTATTAGAATGATCAAAGCTGGTTTGTTTGTTTGTTTGTCTGCACAGTATCAACTATCAAGAGCAACCCAATCAAATTTGTGCTGCACTATAAAAACTTGTTTGCACCATGCTAACTTTAATCAAGTTTGTTGTGTTGCAATTCAGTTAGTTGTGCTGCACTCTGCATTGGCTCGAACAGATATCTCATCCACACTTCTCTGAATTGAGCAGCACAGATGCATCTTTTTTTGATGTGTTCACACATCAAGGTTTTCAGTAATTGGCCTACTACTATAATAATAATACTATTGGCCTAATATTACAAATTATTGAGGGGAAACCAAATGAAAAATGAAAAAAAAAAAAAAAAACTAGGGCTGGGCAACGATTAATCGCGATTAATCGTATCCAAAATAAAAGTTTGTGTTTACATAATATATGTTTTTGTAGTGTGTATAATTACTTTGTATATATAAATACACACACATCCATGTATATATTTAAGAAATATTTGCATGTATATACTGTATAAAATATTTTATATATGAATGACACATTTTTCTTAAATATATACATGCATTTGTGTGAATTTTTATATACAAAATAATTCTACACAGGACCAGACATATATTATGTAAACACAAACTTTTATTTTGGATGCGATTAATCACGATCAATCGTTGTCCAGCCCTAAAAAAAACCTTTAGGATTAGAAAATCAACCATTATTCTGAATATTTGGGAGAAATGTCATCCGGAATGTCTATGGTGGTTACGGTCCTGACTACTATCCATATACAGATTTGCAGCACCTATGAATAGTTTTATTTGCCCTTTTATATAGTTAAAACATTAAGAGTGTAGACAGACCACAATGTAATTATATGAATCAGAATGCTCATATCACACAAACTACATCAAAACTATCCCATATGAACTAAAGAGAAGCAGAACAAAAACCAAAATGGTCTTTAGCTAAGCATCTGATTTCTGCCAAAACCCTGCTCATGTTGTTGTCAGAGTTTGTTTCAATTGTTTATGTTAAATGTTTTGGCGGGTTCATCCTCCTTGTTTTGATTTCACTTGGGACTAGAATCTCCTTCTCTAAAGAAATCAGTTTTTTGTTTTTGTTTTAATTTTGGGGTTGATGGGAATTTTTTTTTTAAATAGGATATCTATTTTTAAGGCACCACATACTTTGATTAACTTTTTAATGTTTACTTTTGAAGATTTTAGGGAGCTCTCCCTCAACAGGACGCTCGGATCGACTGGACCATTCCGGCCGTAGGATGAATCATGGCTGTCCACCCTCTCAGAGAAGACCAATGACAGTCCCTTCCATTGGTTAGTGAGGTTATACATTTGGACTCTCCCTTCCTTCCTTTACTATCTTTCAAAGAGACTCCTGTTGTGTGTTCCTCTGTTTTCCTTACAGTACATGTCATGATGACTGTTATACTGTATAGGCCTGTATGTCCTAGGAATCCCTTGATGTACCCCGTCACTTTTGGTTGGCCTCTGCCATTCATCCTGTTTCAGATTCACAAATAATAAAAGGAGGGAGTTATTCAACTGCTTTATTCTAGTATGCTTTATTCTGTGGCACTCCTAACAGGCCACACACACCACCACCTAAAAAAGCATCCTCATCATGAACATTGCTGTTTTACTCTGGACTAACTCAAGTCAGCTGGCTTTCAACACTGTTTCAACATTTTGACTAATGCATTAGAATGGCATATCTGATCCTAAAAAACACATCATGAGAGCTTTGAAAACATCAGAATCCACAACTCACAGGCTGAGTAGAGGGGGTGTGGCTGTAATGCTCTGATTGGTGTTTCCTTAGAAATCACCGTGGAGAATAACAGTGAGGGGAGTGAGGGGAACCTCTCACCTATCAAGGATGATGTTTACTATACCAATGTAGCCCATCGCAGGAAATGGCCCCCACAGCGAACTGAGCAACGATATGGTATGTGGCGTGGCTCCTCCATGAAAAGAAATCTAACAAAAATTCCCAGAACAATTTGACCTGATATATCAGAATTTTACAAGAGTATCTTGTTTAAAGACCCCATGAAATCAAAGTGAGAATTGTGTGGCGAACGAATCTCTGAAGACAATGATGTCATCAACATGCATATTTTTTGTTCAGTCTACTCTATAGTGTTTCAATGCCATCTAACTGCCTGGCAACAGAATAAAGTGGCTTTAGTCGTTTTCGCGTATCCGTGTAAATGGGGATCGTTTTCCATTTTAAAGTCGGCATGAAATCAAATTTGACAAATCTTCTTTTTATATGTAATATTGTAGCGTTTATTATAAATGATTTATCTGTGTATTTCATCATTTTTTTAAGGGATAGTTCACTTTTAAATTCATTTTTGATATGTTTTATCTTACCTCAAGGGCATCCAAGATGTAGGTGTCTTTGTTTCCACAGTATTTTCAAATTTGATATTTTTCGGTCAAACCGTTGTTGTCTATCAGTCATATAATGGAGGTCACCACCTCAAAGAGCTTGCACAGAGAAGTCAAAATGAAACATGATTGAATGACTCGTAAAGGTAAGCACACATTAATGGCCTAAGACACGAAATGAGCGGTTTGTGTGAGAAAACGAACAATATTTATATAGTTTTTACCTCGTGTAACCACAGCCATGTCCAACTGATCTGACGGCACGGGCGCTTCATGCGCCGGAAGTGATTGCTTGCGTGTCTACGTCACTCATTGTTTACACAGAGATTTCGGAAATTTTACCTTTCACTAAACATATTTAGATATACAGGAAGTCGCAATGGAAGACGATTTCGATATATGAACTTTATGAACTTTTCGATATATGAAAGTTCACAGATGAGCTTTCAGGTGCACATGCTGTATCACAGGTGTGTCAAAGTCTGAGTTGACAGAGAATTATAGCGAGCATTATGAACCTGCTGAACCTGATCTTAACCGGGTTGGATTCGTTTGACTTTGTAAACTCTAAACCTACTCTGAAACAAATTGATGTAAGAGGCTAGCAGTGATCATGCTAGTCCATTCATATATGCTGACAAAATTAACAGTATATATCGAGTAAGCTCATTTTGCGCCACAAATTTTTGTCCTGCCAAACTTCCTGGTTCAATAGTAAAAAAACATCAATACAGCAAATCGGGCTACATTTTTCGAGTGATTTAATGGGGTCTTTAAAGGATATTTTCAATCTTAATACAAGTTAAACTCTATTGACTGCTTTTGTGACGAACTGTTTACCACAGACAAACATTTTGACCCCAAAAAAGTCCACTCGAATAAATGGTAAAAAAAAACAAAAAAAAAAAACACATTTTCTCAGAAGTAAAGTCACAAGAATCAAATATAATACACGTTTACATGAGACTAGTATGGTGGTAGTACTTTACTAACCTTGTCTAAATAGTCATCCAATTATTCAGCTTGTCATGTCCATGCTGAGGCCCTTAAACCTACAACTTGATCACAAAATTCACAAAAGAATTACCAGAAAGGGACACAAACAGGTCATAAAGTATTCATAAAGTACTGTTTATAACTACATAGAAGTTCATTCTTCAGCAGTAGTCCCAGCGTTAAAGGAAAACTGGGACAATCGTACAGCAATTAAATCGTAAAGCAACACATTTACAGTATTTAGAAAAAAATTAGACCTTTTAACCTATAATCTAAACACAGTAACCTACAAATCTCAAATGCAGTCGCTAGAGCTTTACTTGTATTGCTGATCTTAAAAAGAACAGAAGCTGACATGTGGGAGCCGCTCATTAACATTTGGAAGACAGTATGGATGAGCATATTTATTGAGCTATTTTTATGTATCTTTATATGTTTATTTAGGTTTTAATCAAGAGGCAATTTGTACATTCAGTTCACCTTCATTATTTCCACATGGTAATTTGTCTTTATATTAGTTAAACATGATTAGGATTAGGGTTTGGATTTTGGTGTGTTTAAGGGTGATTGCTCCTTTCTTTGTGCTTCTCGTGTGGTCTAAAAAACACCAGACAGTGTTTGTGATCCCCTCTTCTCCTCCTCTTTTTCCTGATCGTCCATCTTTTATGGAGCTTTAAAAAGTTTTCCTTTGAGATCCTCGAATGTTTTATTGCATGGATGTCTTTCTACTGTTGGATGTTGTGTGACTGCTAACCATAAGAGCAGAGATGTCTTCACCCCTGTGCCAGCTGTGGTTTTAAAATGCTGCTTGTGAATGTTCTGCATATTCTTATCAGTAACTGGGTGCATGATTCACTTCTATCAGATCCATATACACTTCTAATTAACTGGCATGGTCTATTGTTTACTACTATCTTAATAGCCATTGGTACAAGATAACAGAAAAGTGTTTTGCGATACCAAGCGATTGTTTTGGATGATTTTGAGTGGATCATTCCAGTGAAGGATTACTAATGAGTTGCTGCATGTCTGTCCAGGAAAGTTCTTTATGTTTTTACAGTAAAACAGCAATGTTTTATCCTTCCCTTGTTTTTTAACATGCATGGCCATTTCAAACGTGTTCTTACTTCTGTTTTCAATGTGCTCGCATATTACCCCACTGATATGCTGTGCGGCAGATCATTTCACTGTATAGGGAACATTTGTATCAGGTGTGATTAACATTTGTATGAGTTTATTATTTTATTATGTGTTTTTGCCTTTTTTTTAAGAAATTGTATATCATATAGTCATGTAGCATCATGTTTTTTTATTATTTTCTAGAAGATTAGGTAAAACGTTTTTGTCTTTTTTTGGGGGCTTTTATCTGTCCTTTGATTTCTGTGTGTAGCAGAAGCTTGCCCTCTTCTCTGTTGCAGATGGTTATGGTGGACGGGAACGGCGGTCTTCAGACTACTATGAGGAGTCGGAGCTCGAAGACTCCAGAATATTTGTAGCCATGTTTGACTATGACCCCCTGTCAATGTCTCCCAACCCTGATGCTGCTGTAGAGGAACTTCCCTTCAAGGAGGGCCAGATCATAAAGGTTTGATCTGAACTGACTGATGCAATTCTCAACTGTCATTTAATTCCACAGCTTGTTTTTCTTTTCTTTTCAACTTTTACTTTCCTTTTTTTTAGGTTGATGATTGATCATTATATTTTTGTACCAATGTACCTATATAATTGCAAATATTAAAATTATGGATTATTAAATTATAAAGTATAGTATTAATATACATTTTTCATCAAAAACTGGCTGTTTTTGTGTCACGGCTGGCAAAAATTAATAATATATTTAATTTAATTATATTTATATAAGTCACCGCCCAAAGTTAGTTTTAGGCCCACATATATGTATTAAACATTCTGATTGTTAAATTCTAAATATACATTTCAATACGAATGTAGCAATATATAATGAGTATATAAACTGTTTTTTTTTTTTATTTTATATATATATAGAAATATTTGTTCATTATTTAGCCATTATTTATATTTTTTAATGTTAAAAACGATTTTGCATAGCTAATTTTATATTCAAAAGTTGTATGTAGGTACTGTATGTAATAATACAAATTATAAGTTCATTATTTTAAAATGAGTACATCGTTTACTATTCAGATTCACAGTATATAATCAGTACAATCCTTTTATATCTGTACATATGCTTTAGAATGATTTATTTTGTATAAATAATACACTTTGTACATTGCTAGTTGTAAGTTATGTTCTGTTCTTTTCTAGTTAAAGTCAGTCCATTGCTGTGGCATTTTGCATTTATTTAATTAGCACTTTTATTCAAATGAAAGTTATAGAAGCATAACTGAATAATCCTCGATAAAAATAAAAATAAAAACGTTAGATGAAGCGCCACTGTACCAAATTGAGTAGAGGGCATTAGAGAGAGTGTAATTAAAAATGCAATGAAATGAGTTTAATTATGGCCCTGCTGTGTTGTCCAGGTGTTTGGAGAGAAGGACACAGATGGATTCTATAGAGCAGAGGTCTGTGGCCGCAGGGGGCTCATCCCCTGTAACATGGTCTCAGAGATCCAGACGGATGATGATGATATGATGGACCAGCTGCTCAAACAGGGGTTTCTTCCTCTCAACACGCCCATTGAGAAAATAGGTATGATCTAACAGGTGTGCTGACCCCTGCCCATCTTACCTTCTGTACTTCATTTTCTGCCTTCTCTTTCCTGTCTATGTTCTGATTTGTTTTACAATAGATTAAACATGGTGCTTGTCTGCAAATTCTCTACCTGTTCCATAGTTTTCATTTTAGAACCCTTAAAGGGATAGTTCACCAAAAAATGAAAATTTTGTCATCACTCATGTCGTTCTAAACCCATATGACTTTCTTTCATCTGCGGAAAACAAAAGAAGTCATATAGAAGAATGTCAAAGGCAGATTTTTCCTTCAAATCCTCTGCCTTCCTTGACTTCATCCTTTCCTCTCTCTCTTCCATTTCTTTCTTGCTTTCCTCTTTTTTTTCTCAAGTGAACTGTAATAGGTTCAAAGATGGCCGTTCAATTAATCGCAGGTCCCGGAAATCCAAGAGAGGTTTGTGCCCCCATCTTTTTTTTTCATCAGTTTCTCATTAAAACCATCTTTTCTTTTTCACTTAAGTGCCTTTTCTCAGCTCACCTCCAAGTTTCCCTTCATCACTTGAATGACACTTAAATGTCCGCATGACTTATTCTTCTGTTCCCACTGACACCTCATACAGGAAATAATGCAGATTGAACAGTGGGGTCCAAAAGTCTGCAACTATTGAAAAGGTCTCGATTTTGTATTTTAGAGCATTTTGTGCTTTAATGGAAACAGAAACATCTGACCGTTTATACAAAGGAGTTCACATGATCAATGTCACTCATTTACTTTGACTGGGGACCTAGTACAGAAACTTTATTTCCATTTTAAATGAGAATACCATGTATACTATTCGGACCCCACATAAACATTTCTACTTACAGTACTACTAAATGTGTCTTCTATTTTTGCATCATGACTTGAGTATTTATTGTGTCATTTTGTAGAATTTGGTCAAATCATTTGATTGTCCTAAAAAGAGGTCAAAGTATCAAAACTCTTGCCAATGGTTGAGTCCAATGTCTTGAACAGTAAAAATATTTTTTAACGTAAAATAAATGACACTTCACTTTGCAACTTCAATTTACTACTAAATGTGCCTTCTATTTTTTCATGTCATGACTTGTGTATTTATTTTGAGCCATTCAAGAAAATGTGCTGCATGTGTCATTTTGTAGAATTTTTAAAAGCATTTTGTTGTCCTAAAAATTAGGCAAAACTCTTGAAATCTTAAGATTTATCTATTTATTGATTGATTGATTTTTATTTCTTTATTTTAAAGCTAGGGTAGACAATGTTTCCCATAAACAGTTTTTGTAATTCTGGTTAAAACTCTAAAAAAAACTCTAAAAAAATGTCTTCTGTGGAAGTCTCAGGACCAAAAAATGTTTGTCCGCATGCAATGATAAGATTTCCTACCTGCCTGTCAACAAATGTATTTGCTTACTCCTGCGCACAATGCTCACGCAAACATTACACGTCATCAGCCCATTCCGAAAGGCTATGCCGAGTTGTAGACAGACAGTCACTGAACACCACAAACAAACAGCAGCAAACTTTTTACAGTTTATTTTGAACCAAAACAACAAGTTTATGCTGCATTTACTCCATAACTACCTTGGCAACCCGTGACGTTGAATCTGCAGCATGAATTTGCACTGGTCAGGTGGGACAAGTCTGCTCAAAGTTATTTATCGTTCACTATTATTGTAATGTTATGTGCTTTGAGTAAGGTAATTTAATGCAGTCTCTCGTGATGCTTTGCAGACTCTGCTCTGGCATTGCGTGTGCATGTGTTTTGGAGGAGGCATGGCTTTGGAGAGCTGTCTGATGGGAGAGTGGGACTGGGATCTTATGCTTTCAAAGCTAGCTTGCTATTACTAGCCTCTCCGAAATTGCCTACCCTAGCTTTAACATAAAATAAATACACTTCATCTTGAAAGTTGGTAATATGCAACTGAATTTATCCATAAGAGGGCATCACATTCTTGCTTTCATCATTACAACCAGGCTTGGTGTCATTCATAAATCATACTTGCCTTTTTTATATATTTATTTGTAATTAATTTTTATGTTCAAAATAAATATCAAATAGTATGTTGTTTTTTGTTTTCTTTCTCTCCAGAACTTATTTGTTTTATCCATCTATTCTTGCATATATTTTTTTTTTCTCAGAAAGGAACAAAAGGAGTGGAAGGCAACACGCGGTGTCGACGCGGAGGATGGTGGCCCTATATGACTATGATCCCAGAGAGAGCTCTCCTAACGTTGATGTGGAGGTAATGGAGTCCTTTTTGTCTGTGCTTTCTTGCACTTATGATCACTCATCCCATAAGCTTTTGATTTTACTCTGGATTGCCTGGATGCCTGCCTCTGTAAAAGCCACCAAATTCATTTTCAGCATATTGTCTTTGCTTTTGCGGCAACAATGTGGTTTGTATTTTTTTATGTTACTATTCATTCAGATGGCACATGGCAGCTCTAAAGATTTAGTTCTTTTTAAAGGTTGATCACCCCCCAAAAAAAGAAAATCCTGTCATTACTTACTATCATGTCGTTTTAATCCTGTATGACTTGGTTCCCACGTCACTTGAGTCAGTCACATTCAACGTTACATCGATACTGACGTATTGGGGTCTCAATTGGAAGCCTTTGGGTAATAAGTAAACCGGCCAGTGAACATTGGCTAGTGAGATTCCAAGCCACTCCCCCGGACTAACGGGTATATAAGCTTGCCGGAATCTCACTCATTTATAATTGCTTCAGAGCAGAGCGGTTGTTTCAAAGCATTTTGCCATTTACCTTCACATTGAGAGGAGACACTTCTACAGTTGGAGAAAAGGCACATTCAATGGGGTTTGCTCCCCACGATTGCACTGATAAGTGTAGCGAATTCACCCCTGGGTGCTAGCATCAGATTTGATTTGAACCCTCCACCCTGCCCTGAATGCTTGAGGTTGGATAATTGGTTTCTCAGCATGGGGCGTGCTGCACAGCATCGTCCTGTCCCGGTACCTTTCTTCCCGGAGGTGCATGAGGAGGTCACAAAGTCTTGCAAGGTACTTCTTACTGGCCAAAACTACTTCACTGCTTCCTCTGCTCTCACTACCTCCCCTGGTGGGGAGGTCAAAAGTTATGCAGAGGTTCTTCGGCAGGAGCATGCAATTGCGGTGCATTTATGCTTGCAAAGTTGGCAGAATCGCCCATCCAAGGCCTGTAAGTTCTTGGCAGCTCTCAGGATTCAGGAATGCCATCTCTGGCTGAACCTGGCAGAGACGGACGCAGACAAAGCGGCCTCTACGGCAACACTGTTGAAGACTTTGCCCAATAGTTCTCAGCAGTACAGAAGAAAGATTAAACACATCTTGCCCCTGCGGGATGCTTATTTTAACAGACCTTCGAGGGCTGCCCCTCCGCCTGCCCATCGCCGAGTGCACCTACATTAGAAGCAGGCAACATCCAGGCCGCAATCTTTTGATGAGTTTATTTCTGTTCCCACATTTTCACTAAAAGAGCAGTTTCCTCAATCTCTGGATCACTTGAGGAGGCAAAGCCTCCTCCCGCATCTCCGGCCAAACCTTTGAGGCTTCCATGGAGCCAGGTAAGAGTCACACCACCCTCACTGCCTCTACAGTACTTTGGGGTGCTACACCTCTCTGGTTGGACCCCAGTGTTCAACCTCACTGCCTCTCCACGTATACCTCTGTAGTTCCACTGGTGCCACTCGCACAGTGTGTGGGGGCCTGGCTAGCTCTTCCCAGCCCGTCTCGTTCACTCATTCAGACGATCAAACTTGGCTATGGAATTCATTTCACCCCTTGTCACCCCAGGTTCAGCGGCGTCTTGTTTATCTCAGTGGCAAACAAAGATACCCCTGTCCTATGTGTGGAGATTGTGGTCCTGCTGGCGAAGGACGCAATAAAGCTGGTCTCTCCAGCCAAGTAGTAGTTAGGGTTTTACAACCCGTACTTCATCTTACCCAAGAAAGGCATTGGGTTACGGCCGAACTTGGTTCGGTGTGTCTTGAACCAGTCCCTTCACAAGCACCCGTTCTAGGTGCTAACGCAGAAACTCATTCTCACATGCGTTTGCCCCTAAGATTGAGGTTTGCAGCGATTGACCCGAAGGACGCGTGCTTCCATGTTTCGATTTTGCCTCAACACAGACTGTTCCTATGGTTTGCTTTCGAGGGTGAGGCATAGTAGTACTAGGTCCTCTCCTTTGGGCTGTCCCTGTTTCCCTGCATCTTCACAAAGGGAAGTGGGCATTCAAATTCTCAACTATACAACCTGCTAGACCCCGTGTCGGATCCTCAGCACAAACCTAAATGAGTGAGTTGCCAGCAAGCTTATATACTCATATGTCCAGGGGAGTGGCTTCCAATGCAAATCTCACTTGCCAATGTTTGTTGGCCTGTTTGCTTTCTACCTGAAGGTGATTGGGGTCCCAAGTAAGACCCCAATATGTCATTATCAACGCAATGTCTCCGTTCCCTCCTTCAGGGAACAACGTTTACAAAAGTTTAATTCATTTTGTCTTTTTATTCATTTTTTTTTTTAAATAATACTATTACTCAAATTATACTTAAGAATACTTAAATATATTTAAGTAAAACATGTTTATTTCAGTCAATGCAACATTTATAATTTTAGTTAAGTTTAGCTTAGTTTAATTGTAAACTTTATTTTAATTTTAGTTAACAATAATAACATTGCTTTACCAAATATTAAATAGTCCCACTCAAACTCGTGATATTGGTTGAGCCAATGTACATGTTTTGGCTTTGGACAGTAGAAAGCATTTTAACATAAAACAATTAAACTTCACCCAGTTGGTAATTTGAACTTCCAAATTTATCCATTAGAGTGGGTCAAAATAGAATAACAAAAAACTTACCAGCCAGGTCTGCTGTCATTCATAAATCATTTTGTGCTTTTTTTTTTTTACATATTTACCTGTGTTCATTTTTTAAAATGTAATTTGTCTTTATCTAAGATCTTAATCATAACAAAAGAAAAATCTGTGCAGAAAAAAAGAAACAGCAGAGTTAAAAAAAAAATACATTTAAAAAAAAGCACATAATTGGGTAAAATGTGTCTCCACAGTAGTAGTCTCCACACCCATCAAACTTGGCCAGTTTAAATTCCAGTTGAATTTAAAGAAAATCTCAGTGAACAAACAATATTAGATCTGCTAATAATTCTATATTATTATTAGTAATACTATTTTCAAGTCTTTTACACCCCATTGTCACTTACTGTCACCTTTGCATTGCCGCTGGTGCACAGGCCCGCTATGGGGGCAGCTTGCAGAGTGAGGAGGTAAGTTGAAGGAAGTAGTGAGTCTACACTCACTGGGCCTGTGACAAATGACAATCTATTTCCTGCTGAGGGAGCTCACTATACTGCATCAGCACCTGTACTCACTTTTGGGGCCCCCAACATCATAATGCATGAACAATACATTTGCATTGTGTATTGAATGTGTTTTAAAGCCTTCATAATATGTTTGATGAATGATTCTCTTAAGAATAAGCATTATAGAAAGCCTTGTGTTTCACGAGTCATGCTTAAGTGAACAAAATATGTGTTTAAATTAATTCCAATGTTTATGCATGCATTTATTGGATATTATGAATCATGTTAATGCGTATATGAAGGCTTTGTGACAGGCTGTCGTAAAATTTGCTCCGCTGTAAGTGAGTGAGTTCCTATGACAGGAATATGGAATGGTTATTTGTGACACTCTCTCTGTGTGTGTTTTGCTGTTGTTGGACTGGAGGTAAAGGGTTTGGAGGACATGCCTTGCCCAGTCTTGGTTGATCTGTGTTTGTATTTCATTAGTTTGGTGGATGTTGTTTTGGACCTGAACTAAAGAAATTTGCTATAAAATATTAGATGTCATCTTCATTCTAATAGGGAATGTAGTGACTCTTTTATATTTGATATTTCTTAGCTAGATTTTAAGATGAATGGATGGATGGATGGATAGATAGTAACTGTTGCAGTTTTGCATATTAAATTGGCTCTGTGACAGTTATGAATTGATGACTGAAATCGAACATGTTTTTCTCTCTCTGTTCTTCAGGCTGAACTGACGTTTTGTGCAGGTGATGTGATCACAGTGTTTGGAGATATCGATGAGGATGGCTTTTATTATGTGAGTAGATTATTCACACCACCTGTGTTTTTGGTGCAAACACTATACTATTCCGCAAATGCGTTTTTTCCTCAGTGGCCAGCATTTAAAAAACACCTCATGGTGATCCTTCAAGTTTGAGGTTATTCCTACTATTGACTTTGAACACAGGAGAGCTGCCACACTGGGATTTAGCCAAAGGCGCGTGATATCCTCTGTTTTCCATTTTCAGGGGGAGCTCAATGGACACAAGGGTTTGGTCCCCTCCAATTTTCTTGAAGAAGTGCCTGATGACGTGGAGGTTTACCTCACAAACACCCCGAGCCGTCACCCCCAGGACCACCCGTCCCGGACAAAGAACAAAAGGGTATATCCTGTTACACACTAGCCGTCTGTCATCCATTTATTTTAATCTTCTTCCTGCTCCGCTGTTTTTTTCCTCTTCTCCGTCTGTGTTTGTGTTGTGTGACAGCCGGTTGCTTTTTTGATGGATCATTGAAGGAAAACAGAAACGAAAAGAGAAATGAAGACAGCTTACTAAACACAGAGACTTACCTTTAAATGCAAGACTGGGGAACCTTTATTTTTATGTCAGATGCTCTGCGGAAGCATTTGAGGAGAAATGTGAACTGGTAATGAAATTGCATATTCATACAGCATTGTTTGAAAAAAGAATTCGCGCAAAGAGACGTGCCAGATTATTAGTTGTTCATTGTTATTATTTATGGGAAAAGAAGCACTAAAAGACTCTTTATTATTTTTTACTTAATTCACAAGTGAAGCATTGTAATTGATGCTTTTTGAATGTAACTGTGTTTAAACGTGAAATCAATTTATAATAGAGGAGATAGTTTTGATGTACAGAGAACTGAAACCATGTAGAACTGTTAGAACTGCATGCTTTTACTTTCAGAATGCTTCAAGCCCACCATGAAACTTTTTTAGGTGCTTTAATGGATTGAGACCAGTTAAAAAAAAAAATGAACCTTAAATCCTTTTGTATATGTTTCCAAAAGAATTGTTTTTGTATATTGCTGATATATAAGACTTACAGAGAGACACAAAACAAATGTTGCAAGTAAAGAGAGGTATCAAGAATGATTTTATCTGTAGATGTAGATATTGTACAATGAACTGTAAAAAAAAGAGAAAAAAAGAAAATATAATTGCTGATGGATGTTCTGCTCAATCATCAGGACCCATCAAGGTTTTTCTGTACTGAAAGTTTGGTGATTTTGTTTTTTCATATTCATTGTGAAGACAATTGAGATGCATTACATCATGGCATTGTTTTTTTTTTTTCCTCACTTGCTTGGCAAAACAGAAGAAGAGTGTTCATTTCACTCCGTAACGGCTCAGTATCTGTCACGTAAGTGAGCAACAGAGGATACAACGAATAACGCTGTCTTCGTCTAATGCATACGACACGGGTCCTTATTACTGTTGCACCTGGTATACATAAAACATGCACATACGGCACATTAACACCAAGCATTTACAAAAAAAATAATTGCTCAAATGTAAGAAAATTCTAACACAGAGTTTACGTACATTTTCACTTATTTAATTTTAATTTGTAATATTTTATTTTATACCTCATAGTTTATTAATATATTATTTTTACTTTTTGTAATTTTAATATTTTTATATTATTTTAATATGTTTTTTTTAAAATAATAAATCACTTAAAACACTATTTAAAATCTACAGTATATATATATATATATATATATATTAAAAAAATAATAATTAAAAGATGTACATTTATAATATTTGTTATGAATTCAATTTCACACTAAAATAAAGGGTTATATTGACTTTCTTTATAGGCGCACACATTTGCATTCCTACATATGCATGCACAGACAAGGCACATAACACTCATCAAAACACACCTATAATTTTCATGTCCTGGAATTCTCATGTCATATATTTGTGCATCAGATTCACAGTACTACAAGTAGTGCTGCTCAGAGAGCTGTGATTGGTCCACTGCTGTCAGTGCATTAGACAGGCACAGCTGGTATCTTCAGTTGTTTCTCTGGGTGTTGTCCATTATAATGTTCGTCTTTCATTGACTCCTTCTGTAAGTCTTAGAAAGCTATAAGGCCATTGTTGCACGGTCAGAATTTGACCCCTGACCCCCTTACCCCCACCCCTTCTCTTTTCTAATGTGTGCAGTTAAGTAGATTCCAAGTGTAAGCCCTGGGACAAACCCTCTCCTCTCCTGTGGACGTGCACCCTATCATACAGCACGAATTCACACTATTTAAATTTTTATTTCAAAATGAATACTGAAACATTGGCCAGGTCATACAGGTGTGTGTGTGTGTGTGGGGTGCACTATTTCCATTAACTCTAGGAGTGAACTCAAACAAGTATTCTCACCCTTATCCATCTAAAGCGTAGATTGTAGTTCTATTCTCATATATATTTGATTGAATTGGTTTTTATTTTAAAGAGGTGGTTCAGAATTTTGGACATCGGGCCTCATTTCCAAGTTAGTGTTATTGAACAGTGGAGACAGTTTTCAAAACTTTTCATTCAGACGTTCCAGTTGCATAATTCGCCGGTGCTAGGCAAGCGTGAGTCAACGGTGACTGCTAGCCTGCAATTAAAAACAGTTTTACCCACTCCACAGTACACCAAAGCAATTCAATTATAACGCCAGACTATCGATGTACATGTCTGTTGAGAGAATAATGTTCAAACTACCCTTTCATTGCATTACAATAGTTATATTTTGTTCCCTGTATTTATTAGTGCGGTCTACAGGTGCTGCAAAGGTCATACACGTAGCCATGATACTGGACACATGGGATATTTTATTCACAAAATCCAAACATTAGTCAGGTAATGTTAAATGTTAAATCTTACTTGTGAAAAGTAATTCCTGAGCGATAGTCCGCCGGGATATGCTGCGCAGTGCTCTGGCATCTACTGCTGCTATGCAACACAATAGGAATACGACCGGTTCAAGATGGCGGCCGGATTTCTCAGTGCCCAGCGGCCAATAGGGCATCTAGTCTCTATATGATATCAATGGGTAGAGCTGTTTTTAATGGCAGGCTAGCTGTTACCATTGACTAGCCTAGGACCGGCAAACTGGGACGTCTGGATGCACATTTTTTAAAACTGTCTCCACTGATAAATAACACTAAGGCTCACTTGGAAATGAGGCCCGATGTCCAAAATTCTGAACCGCCCCTTTAAGTTTTTGCGTTCTTGCAGCCACTTTTGTAAATGAAGCTTTTTTAAAGCAGGTTTGATTTGGCTCCAACACCCTTGGTGAAGTTACCATGCTGAAAGGTGATAGATTACTCCAAAAGACTGGTAAATTAAATACTTATCTTCTCTTTTCATTGCCATTATAGAGTGTCACTGTTAGCGTAAATACTCATAATGATGTGTTGTGCAACTATACAACTAAAATTAAGGGGAAAGTATGGCATGTTAAAGTGTTTTTGCTGTTAAGGAGTACATAATTAGTTCATTGTCACTAAATATTAGATTACTGTCATGTCACTGTGTAAAAACAGTCAATTTCTTAAGATTATTTTGTTCCACTTGCAGTCTGAACAGGCTTATTAATGTTTTAATGCGAGTTTAGTTTTTTTGAAGTGAAGCATATTTTCTTTTAATTATTTTTGCAGTTTTACTAAAACAATTCCCACAGGTGACTGTTTAGAGTGTCGCCCCCTATTGGCTGGATGTATTATTTTATGATGCAAAATGTACTATACATTCCATAATTGACTGTATGGTGGCCCTTCTGGGACAGAAAGGACTGTGAGAGGAGATGGGAGTGTCTGTTGTACAGTAATGACGTTGAGATGCTTTAAAAGGCAAAGAAACACTTCCTTTTCTTTTTAAACATCCAGCCCTGAACTGTCCCTTGCGGGTCTTCCGTTAGGTTCCCGTGGAAAAAGCGGGCCCTCCCAGAAGAAGTGCCACCCCCACAGTGCGCCCACACATCCCGGGGTCCGGCCCCGCAGCACAGGGGCCCGGCAGTTCCTTCCGGCGCCCCCGAGCTGACTCTAAGAAAAAAGGACTGCTCTCCAAAGGAAAGAATCTATTGAAAAGGCTGGGTGCTGTCAAATAGTTTCACACACAGTAACCCTCCTCACTGCAGCCGGCTTAAGGGAAAAAGTGGAATTATAAGAGGTGGGAAAAATAAAATACCACTTCTCCTATCTTCTGCTTCTGTAATCACATGAATTGGGCATGGAAAAGAGAAAGGGAAATGGTGGAAACTAGGGCTTTCATGACCACTACTTCGTCTTTATCCCGTTGAAGCCTTATTTGCCCATTTTTAATTCTTAAAAGCACAGAAATGCTCACAAACGTGAGTTGATGTCTTTAAAAATTCAAATGTGTATTAAATTAGGATAATATTTTATTTGATTGATTTTAAGGGATAGTCAATTAATTATTTTACTACATAATTACTACAATAATAAACATTAAAAAATAAATTTCCCTTAAATGAAATACAATTAAACATTAATTTAATATAAGAAATATCCAATAATAAAAATAAATATTATTATAATAACTATTTTTTGGCACATTTTAGATCTAAAGCTCCTTTTCTAAGAGAAAGATAACCTACTGTAGCACAAATTTTTAGGAGTTAGCACAAATATGAAATGTGGGATTTGCTGTGACTAAACACTGCTTATATTTCTACTAAAAACATGAGGGGGGGAAATCTTCTGCCACTTTTGACTGGATTGTTTTAGCACTAAAAGGTCATGAAACTCCTAGTGGAGCCCCGTCATATTTGCCTTATTCAATGCACAATGGTTTGTGTTGTGTCCAGTCATCTGGGTGAGATTCGTCTGTCAGTGTCATGTGCAGTCATGTAGATGTTTTCCTCCTCATGAAAAAGCAGTGTATTTCAAATCTGTGTGACCAAGTGTTGTGTTGTTTTTTTGCAATGTGTGTCAAAAGTAGGGAGGGAGGACTCTAACCTTGTTTAAACCACTTTGGAAAGAACAAATGTCTGTTTAAATGGTTCGTAAATCCATTCTCATGTAAATTGTGCAAATGAATGCAACAATTAACTTAAGAATGTTTTTATACACGATTTACACATGAAGTTCTGTATGTTTTCACAAACAAGGCCCTTGATTTCCACTTATTTAGCACAACTTATTCATAATTTTACATAAATCAGTTGGTTTATTGGCTCAATGATGCCTCTCCCAGCATTCAAACCATTTGAATAAAATAATGCACCTATTCTGTACTTGATGAGGAAAGAAATGAGCATTTGTGAATGTATGGCCAAGGAAAATCTTTCTTACCGTTTCCAATACGCGATCCATTTGATCCAGTCTATAGTTGTTCCCCATTCATTGTTCATCTTTTTTTTTTTTTTTTTTTTTTGAGGTTTTGTCATTTCACCCTTACATTTTGCCCTGAACAAACATGCTAAAGTAGGTTTGCAAGGATTGACTGCCAAAAGAAAAAAAAAACAGGAATGTATGAGATACATTCTGTATATCTTGTACAATTTACAGCCAAATTCCAGGCATTTTAATTAATCAGAATAACTGTATTTTTATTTTATTTTTTTTGCCGAGTCATTTAATCATACGATATGTTACAGAACATCGCTTCTACATGTTTGAGTGACTGCTGCTCTTTTTGTACTTTTGTCCATTTGTACATTCTTTTTAAATGTTTATACTTGCTTTTCAGACTGCCTTTTTTGTACATTAAAATTTATAATCTGACAGTGCAAGCTATCCTCATGGTGTCTTCAAACCATAATGTTTTAAAGTCTGCAATTGTGTGCTAGCTTTATGGAAAAGAATTATAAGCCTATATTGATGGTTATCAAATATTGTGTGAGTGTGCATGTGCAGTTTTATATCAAAATAAATTTGATATTTTATACACAATGTAGTATGTATTTATTCTATTAACTCGATATTCAATCTTTTACAGTTTTACAGGTGAGTGAATGACTAATGGTGACGGTTGATACAATATAATCTACTTCCAATAGATGGCGCCCAAAGTCAAGAATTGTCTGCCTTTGTAGTGATTTACTTCCTTTAAATGTGCGTACAAATTCACAAAATGTACAAAGGTCAAAGGTTCCTTTCTAATACACGCCAGGATAAAACAATAAATGTATACCTGCATAGTTTTTTCATCCCTTACCACATTCTCATGTATTTGTTTTTAGCTCTGCAGCCCTACTTATTTTTTATTATGAACAGGTATGAGATCATCATATAAATATAGCCTACATAAAAGCTTAACATACACTGTAAAAAAAATATTTTTCGTTCAACTTAAAGTTTTAAGGCAACCATGGGTTACTTCATTTTTTAAGTTCATTGAAATTGAAAAATTGAGTTAATACAATGTAGGAGATTGATTTAATAATCAGAAACTCAAAATATGATGTTATCTGAACCACATCTAAGTTGATTTGACAGAAGAAAAAAACGTTATGATAACAAATCCATTTTTTATAGTGGGACCTAGTGCTTTTTGCTTTACTGTTATTCAACCCAAGTAGTAACTCGGTAAATATTTTCTTATCTATAACAAAAAGTTTGGTTTTCCTTTAGCCCATTTTTGTTTGTATATGGTTTTTCCCCATATCAAACTATGAAGGCCACATTTGGTGGTAATCTTTGTCTATTCAAATTAAACAAAATCCATCTTTTTTCAGAAAAGTAAACTTTCATCCCTAAGCATTTACAAAGAAAACATTCCAAATCTACCCAAAACATTTAGCTATAAATGCAATTAAAAATAAGTGGATATTTTCTTTGTCAGCCCCACCTTAGGCGTCATTCCCACGTCCAGATGCTAAGAAAAGTTCTAGAGCTTGTTCAAAATTCGCCTATTTTGAACTGCTCTAAAAATAATGATTTTTTTTATTGTTTGCTGTGTATTTCAATAGATTGTAACTTTTCTCAGTGTCATTATTCAGTTGTTAATCAAGATTAGGGTGACAAACAGTTTTGTTTTCCCAGGACACGTCCTGTCCATGTTTTCACGCCCTGTCCTGGCCGTCTTTGTGATGAAAATGTCCTGGTTTTCAAAAAAAAAAACTGCTGGGAAAGATCAGCTTTACAGCCCAGTTTAGATGGGCAAACAAGGAGGATGAGGAAGAAAAACAGGATAGAGGGAATATATTGTTAGTTCGTTTTTATAAGTTTGTGAGAGCTTTTTTTTTGTTCAATTTGGAGGTATTTATTTTAGTTATTTATATATTTATTTTATATTTATTTTTTCTTGTAATATAACATTTTTTTTAACCCTAGGCATTAAATGTATTGAAATGAACAAGGCATCTTTGAGTAAACTTCGAGTAGCCTATCTTTTGAGTTGCCTATGTGTTTGCCATTGCATAGGCTATATGGTCACCCTAATCCAGATCGTTAAAGATATCATGAAGAAGACGTTGTCATGGGTTAGATGTCACTATGATGAACGCTGCTCAGAATGGACCAATCATACTGTTGCTTTTCTGATGTCAGTTTTCTTCTAATGAAGACATTTACACTGCAACTCTAATGTATGCATATCTGTGCTAAGACAAATATGTCCTGATATTTAAATGGGAATCAGTGTAGGAGCCTACATGCGCCCCCTGCAGGAAAACAACTTCGTGTCCCATAGGAAACAGTTATGTAGTAGCATTTACCGCCCGATGGGCTCAACCCACTGAAGAGAGCGCGAGCTCAGCGCTTGTTCTTCATCTTCATCAAAGCTCGAGCGCAGCACGCGATAGGCTTTAAGCGGACTCTTAAACGATGGATTACAAACTCTGAATTTAGTACACAATTTCAAGTTATCTTTATTACTGGTCATTTTGGACGTCATATTCTGACGCACTTTTAATAACCCTTTTTCTCACGCAAATACCCAAAAATATCTTTACTCTGATATAAGGGCAATGATTTGTTCTTTTACCCTTAACGTCGCAGTATAGATTCGAAGACTGTAACTTTCTTTTGTTGCTGAAAAATCTTTTTAAACCATGGACTTATACTGCAAAGTCCTACTGACTCTCCTGAGCGTATTTCAGGTAAGATCATTTGGATAGAAGAAACATTTGTTTTTAATATAACTTGATTTGATTTATAATAAGTGTTTTTGTTTGTTTGTTTGTTTTGGTTTGGTTTTTAAGTTCTTTCAGGTTCGTAGTGACACTGTATCACCGTCAAAACATCCAGGTAAAAGAAATTAAAATTCTTTTTTTTCCAGAACTCATGGCTCCACGTAAATTTGGTAGCCTATATTTAGAACAAATTCGTTATTTTCTACACTAATAAACAGTAGGCTTGCCAAGAAATTAATCTTAAATGTGGATTTATTTTTCGTTGTTGTTGTTGTTGTTTTTCAGTTGTGTTGAATTTAAAAGGTTCAACCTTTAAGCTATTGCAAAAAAAAAAAACTTTATTTACATAAAAATAAACCTGCGATTTACAGATAAAATATTTTTTGCTTGTCCTAAAACACTGAATGAATATGTCACTGTAATCCAGCGAAACGCAGCATCGACATTTAAATCTGTAAATAAAGCTATCTTAAAGCCTTAATTTAAAAAAAAAAAAATAAGGAAAAATCCAACCTTTAAGGACACCAATTTCTTTGCGAATGAATAATGTATCATAAATAAATGTTCTTCCTTAAAATACAGGGTAAGTCTTTCAAGGTAAAGTAAATACCCTGTATTTCCTTAAAATACAGGGTAAGCCCCTTTGTTAAAATCCCATAGAGTCAGGAATATTTCATGGATCTAGGGTAATATGTATCCTAATAAAGTTCCCTTGGCATTTGGAATTAAATATCCCCACATCATCACACACCCTTCACCATACCACCATACCTAGAGATTGGCATGGTTTTATTTAAGTAAGCCTATTATCTGGTTTGATTTGCATTGGAAGATGATCTTATGGAAAATACTTTTTTTTTTTTTTTTTACTTGTGTCATGCATTGATGCACGTGCTTGGATATGTTGTGCTCAGGTCTGCAGGTGCTGGCCACGGCTTCACATTACTGGCCCCTGGATTCAGTGGAAGGGATCCACGGTCTATCAGACCAGATTGGGAACAGAACAGGTCATGTTAATGGGACTAACATAAGTATGTAAACGTCACACCTGCTTTTCTTTCTTTCTTTCTTTCTTTCTTTCTTTCTTTCTTTCTTTCTTTCTTTCTTTCTTTCTTTCTTTCTTTCTTTCTTTCTTTCTTTCTTTCTTTCTTTCTTTCTTTCTTTCTTTCTTTCTTTCTTTCTTTCTTTCTTTCTTTCTTTGTCTTTCTTTCTTTGTCTGTCTGTCTTTTCTGTCTTTCTGTCACCACAGCTGTTTAACATTCTTCTATGGTCACGTCTTAGTTTCAGAAATCTCTGTGGCTTTGCAGCTGTCTTCAGCTCTTAAAACAAACTGATTGGCTTATTTGAGTCGAAAAGTTGAGGACTTGCATGATTACCTCAGTTGTGATGAAGACAACTGACTATGACATTTAAGGGTGTCAAAGGTACACAGTTTCTCTCAGTGATTTACTAGTCCGCTTGGAGTTTTAGAGGACCAAACTCACCTTGGGATACAGTACATCTTGGTAAACAGACCTGTTGAAAATTAGAAATTTGTGCATTTAATACAAACATCCACACATTATTCCATAGCTGGAGTATATTTCCAGTATGGCATTTGTTCTGTGCCGGCTAATTCTGAACAAATGGAGGGCTGAGAGGAATTCGTTAGGCCTTTCGGACTTGTGTCGGCACATTGTGTTGTCCCATGTGCGGACCTGAAAGATATGTTAAAATCTCATTGAATGTTACACTGGTCATCTTGTCCACCATGTCTGCCTAAGTGTCTCACAATGTCCCTTTTTTCCCTGTCTCATGTCATATCTCTATACTCATTTGTACATGTGTATGTTGCTGAATCACCTGTTTTTTTTGTTTGTTCTGTCTCTTTTTCTTTGTTATTTCCACATTCTCTCCATCACAGCTGTCAGAATCCACAACCACACTGTCCTGACTACCCATAATTCTTCCTCTGTGTATACCAATGACTCTGCCTACACTAACATTTCCGCCACTGTAGGTGAGGCTCTCACACGTTCACTCACTTACTATACAGCTAGGTTCTCAAAGAACAGCATTGGGGCCTATACATTCATGTAGACCTTGTATTTCAGCAGGACATCATTAGGAGAAGATAAACTAAAAAACTCTGATATATGACCATTTACATTAGAGTAATTGAAGCATGAATTGTTTAGTGCAGTTTGATCTGGCGTTCTTCACTCAAATCAAACCATTCAAGATTGACTTGTTTTATTGGATCCAGTGTGTTTGTGAAACTGCGTTTGAAAACCTTGCCCCATTTTGGAAATCTACTGTTTGCGCTGTGATTTGTTATGTCAGTTCGTTTAAAACAAATGCCCCAGCCAAAAAACAATTATACATCGATTTGAATCTGATTGGTCGAACAGCGTTGCAAGAGTGCTGCTATTTAGTATAACAGTCCTGCAGTGTTTGATTGTGCAACATTGTAACCGTTTTCATGGTGTCGGTCAAAAATACAGTAATACATTATGATTAAAAAAAACCCTCTGCTTTCTATTAAATTTTAAAATGAGCAGAAGTTTCACCAGTCATTACTGATTCATCCATGCTGATTTGATTTGTTAAATGGAAAGTTCAGCATTTGTAGCATCTAGCATTTGTTACATCTCTTTACTGTTACTTGATATATTTGATGTCTTTGCTTGATAGAAGATTTCTTAAAAAAATCAATCTTACTTACCCCAAACTTAAACATAAATGAGACTGAAACTGCAACCGCTAGCAAGCTCCATTTTGTAAGGTTACTGGTCATCCCAACTTGATAACTTTATAATTTAGTTTCCAGTCAAATTAGGGTTTTCAAGTGACACTTCAATGCAACTTGTATTCATGATCATTCTGATAGCATATGAAAACTATAAAAGCTTGTTTCTGCCATAGAATGAAAAATATAAAAGGTAATTGCTACTTTTTATTTCACAATTCTGACTTTTTTTCTCACAATTGCGAGTTTACTTCTGAATTGCGAAAGTCTGAAATGCGAGATATAAAGTCAGAATTGCGTGATATAAAGTTGCAATTGCGAGATATAAAGTCAGAATTGCGTGATATAAAGTCAGAATTGCGAGTTATAAAGTCAAAATTGCGAGATATAAAGTCAGAATTGCGAGTTATAAAGTCAAAATTGCGAGATATAAAGTCAGAATTGCGAGATATAAAGTCAGAATTGCGAGTTATAAAGTCAAAATTGCGAGATATAAAGTCAGAATTGCGTGATATAAAGTCAGATTTGCGTGATATAAAGTCAGAATTGCGAGTTATAAAGTCAAAATTGCGAGATATAAAGTCAGAATTGTGAGATATAAAGTCAGAATTGCAAGTTATAAAGATAATATCATGCAATTCTGACTTTATATCTCACAATTTTGGAATTGCAAGATATAAAGTCAGAATTGCGAGATATAAAGTCAGAATTGCAAGTTATAAAGATAATATCACGCAATTCTGACTTTATATCTCACAATTCTGACTTTATAACACGCAATTGCGACTTTATATTAAGCAATTCTGACTTTATATCTCGCAATTCTGACTTTATAACTCGCAATTGTGAATTTATATCACGCTATTCTAAATTTTTATCTCGCAATTCGAAATAAAGAAATACAGTCGAAAAGAAATTAAGGTTTTTGATGAAAACATTCCAGGATTTTTCTCCATATTATGCACTTCACTGGGAACCAAACGGTTCAAGGTCCAAAAGACAGTCTCAGTGCAAACCGCAAACTGTTCAAAGGGCTTTAAACGATTCCAGAACAGGAGAGTCACGAACGCGCATCACAGAACAGAGCAAGGCGAGCAGTTGAGCTTATAAAACTTAAACTTTGTTATTTATGTTTGAAATGATTGATCGTTTCGCTACGTAAGACCCTTATTCATCGTCTGGAATCGTTTAAAGCCCTTTGAAGCTGCACTGAAACTCTCATTTGGACCTTGAACCGTTTGGTTCCCAGTGAAGTGGATTATATGGAAAAAATCCTGGAATGTTTTCATCAAAAACCTTATTTTTTTTTTGACTGAAGAAAGAAAGACATGGACATCTTGGATGACATGGGGGTGAGTAAATTATCAGCACAAAAAAGCTTTTTTAAAAGTGAACTACTCCTTTAATATCAGCACAGATTGCTTGTGTGACATTGTTACTGTAAATCTCAAAATCTAGTTCACGAAGGCATGCCAATTCCCTGAATCTCACTGCATAGATGGATGTTCACTCCTCTGTAGGCTGTTACCTCTTTATCCATCTGCTGTTGTTTACTCGCTCCACACTTCAGTCTGTCTCACCTCTGTCTTCTGCCATTCACTGTGTCTTCTTCACTGAGCACTCTTTTCCATCATCATCTCTTCTCTCAACTCATCCATTCATGAGGTGCGATGGTGCAATGGCTCCCACTGTGATCCACAGATCCTGCCTTTTAGGTATAACAAAGGAGGATTTATTGACCAAAATAACTGCCCTCGCAAAGGAAAAACTTACCATCGACAAAAATCCGACATGTCATGAATCATCTGCAGTTCAGTTGCTCAGATGGGGGATTTTGAATTCCCTAGATCCTCATAATTCACGAGATCTGCTCTTGTTGTTCTAGAGGATGGAGCAAAATGCTCGTATTTTTACTATTTGGGTAAAAGGTTAGGATTCCCCCATAAAGACTTTGTTGTCTTTCAGATTGGCTATCAATGATTATTCACCCAAAAGATTTTCCATGAGGTGATTATAAACTGGAATGGTTTTTGAAATGTTATATTGCAAGTGTTATAATCTTGTTGGTTGGTCTTTCATTGTGTAGACATTGTAGAAGGAATGGTGAATAAGGGCATCTATCTGAATGGTGATAATGGAGCCACTTACCTTCACTTTGGCAACTATAAAGACTCCTGCATAAGTGATCCTACTCTGTGTGGACCTGCCGGTGAGTTTTTAATATCTTCATGCACTCTTTTCCGATGTTATAGAAGTGCATCTTTATATGGTCATAGATGTATGATAGTTGAGTAATGTGTTGCTCCGTTTTATACATGACGTAATAAAGGCTAATGGTTCAAAATTAAGTTTATATTTCTCAAGAGCAAATATATCAGCTTACATCAAACATTTTGTGCGTGAAAGCTGATATCATCTGTTATTCATCTGCTCAGATCAGTGCACATTCTTTTCCTCGCAAAAAGGAGAATATGTTGCATTTATATTTATTTTCCAGGGCTTGACCAAAGTAAGACTTGCTGTAATGTTGTTTGTAATGAAGCAGCCTGGATCTAATAAAGAAGCTTTTGTTTAGTTATAAGTTAGATCAGTATGTATCGGAAAAAGAGCTTGGTGAGAGCCAGAGGATTATGGAAATCATATATTGATTTTAAATTTACATTCAAATTCATATGAAACATTTGAAAGTTTTATGAAATAATTGTATTAAATTGATATAATATATTCAATTATTTGAGCTTCTAATCACAGCCTACTGTACTGTTAAATACTGTATGTTTTCTTTTAAGTTAAAATACCTTGTGTTCAACATTAAAGCTTTACTTAACTTTTACTCCTGGACAGGGATAACGTTCTCCTTCTTCTGGAAAAACAAAGAGATAGAGTCTCGTTTTGCGATTGCATCCGGAGGTAAAATCTTCTCGAGTGGTTTCTCTGTCTACTCCAACCCTCTTGGCGGATACGTGGAGTTTTACACGAGAGGAGATTCCATGACATGGAAAGCACATATCGAACTCCCAGGTAGTTATTATTTGAGTGTGTGGGGGAAATTTTAGTGTAGGATATGGAAAGAGTTTAAATGTTTGGGGAACCAAATTATTTTGCCTTATCTCCAAAGCCAAAAAAGATTTCACATGATCTTGATATTTTGCGCACATGGACAGTTTGAAATACATTCTGGTTTGGAATTACATGTGCCGTCTGACCATAAATATTTTGAATATGTAGTTGTGTTTTTAATTATATTGATTGCATCCAGATGTCGAAACATTCAATAGGCTTCAGAATAAACTTTCTCTTTTGGACTTGACAGAGTGATTTAAATTTTGATCTTAATGTTAAAATTAATAAAAAATGAAAGTGTAAGTGAAAATTACCTGCCCGAGAAAATAATGAAGATTATAATAAAGATTTTTCAGGCATTTGGGGATTTGTGTCACTTCCATCTTCATTATCCATGTTTCTGCTTCTCAAATCTTCAGAATATCTGGTCTTGTTTGGATTGACATGGCTGCTAAGTTTAGTGATTGAATGCACCCATCCAGAAGTTTAGGATCAGTAAGATTTGTACAAAAAAATTAATTAAAAAACTTTTATGAAACAATAACGTTACAATTTGATCAAAAGTGACAGCAAAGACTTTTAAAATGAAACCAACATTTTGAATGAATTATTTTCTTTTGAATTTATATATATATATATATATATATATATATATATTGAAATATTATTTTTAATATTACTGTAAGATACTTATAATTACATTATGGTGTGTTTTATGTGTACAGATGTTACAGGAGCATTTATATTTGCCTATGTTACTAATTATAACCCATAAGTATGCAAATAAGAATGTTAGAATTATACCAAGGTCTCTATACTGTCAGAACATGAACGAGAGAGAGAGAGAGAGAGAGAGAGAGAGAGAGAGAGAGAGAGAGAGAGAGAGAGAGAGAGAGAGAGAGAGAGAGAGAGAGAGAGAGAGAGAGAGAGAGAACATAATGTCTTGAGTGGGATGATGTGATGAGACAGTCTCCATTTGCCATTTTATCCCTGGACAGATGAAATGAGCCATTGACAGATCAACTCTGAGTTTATATATATATAATTTCTTATTGGCTGCATTATAAGGTGATGAAATCCATTCCACATGCTGTCTCCAGCTCTCCATTTCTGTTCTATTTAAACTTGTGTTTTATGGAACCAGACAGTGTATATTACTATTATCTCTATTTATGGAACCAGACAGTGTATATTACTATTATATCTATTTCCAAACAATCAATTGTTGTATTTATTTATTTATTTATTTGTTTGAATGTTTTTTTATTTAATTTGCTGGCTTTCTCTCTCTCCTATCGTCTCTGTGCTTTATCTAGGGCCCTACTGGACACATGTGCTCTTCACATGGACCCAAACGGAGGGGTTAAAGGTCTACATTAATGGAACATTAAGCACCAGAGACCCCACAGGAAATGTTTCCCATAACTATGGTGATCCCTATGCCGATCTGGTCATTGGCACAGGAAACATCGGGCGTTACAACCACTATGCCACAGGTGCCTTCGATGAGTTTGTGATTTGGGAGAGGGCCCTGTCCCCTCAGGATGTCTGGATGTACTACAAAGCAGCTATTGGTAAGTTATTTCAGTAGAGCTCATTGTGACTCAAATCTGCTGTCATCATCATTTCATTTATCTATTAGTTTATTTTATCTGTGGCAGCCTTCACTTGTCCCAACCATGTGCTTCTCTGCAATTGTCAGCCTTTGCCATTGTTGTCAGGGTTTCCCAAATTAGCTGTGCCTTGTCTTTTGGTGTCTCCAGAATGTCCCAACTTGCCTCTTAGCAGATGCTAGTGTAACGGTATGGTGCAGAAGGAATTAGCAGAGGTGTCAGAACATCAAAATTAAACTTTTACTTTTATAAAATCACAGGAGCAAACGGGTAGCGGGTTCTCTCACACATAAAACAAAGTAGATCGGACTAGGACTCGAAGAACAGAGGGGATTTAAAAACAAACACAGATTATGATGATAGAATACTATACACAGGTGCTATACTTGAACACTAACGAGGAGCGGGAAAACTGGGACTCGGGACTGAACCAAAAACACTATGCAGGGGGGGGGAACACAAGACATACAACAGCTCTTCATGCATCTAGAATATTCTTGGTTATACTGTCTGTCTCTAATTATTCATTTGAAGTAAAATACCAATTAAGCCACTTTAATTGAAACCATGCTAAAAAAATCATTGGTAATGATAAAAATGTTTCATTGTTAGAATGATTTCTGAAGGATCATGTGACTCTGAAGACTGGAGTAATGGTTGCTGAAAAACATTTGAACTTTATAGCACCTTTCCAAATCTAAACAACACTTTGTAATCACTCTGATTAAGACAGAGAAAAAGTGTACGTTATGGCACAAAATGTCATTGGCGGAGATCAAGAATGTTGTATTTCAGAGAGTTCTGTTTGGAAACAGAAACATCTGTGATGCTGCTGCTTTTCTTTTCTGCCATATCTCCGAAGTTATTACCCAACGTGCAGGTTTATTATAGAGAGGAAGAAGAATTTGAAGACAATTTCCTTTTGAGAAACTGGTCCGCATTCCAGCAGTCCTCAAACTAACCACAATAAAACGCACTGTTGAAATACCATTATATGTTTGTGTTGTCCTCGAAGACAGGCTTTGGTTATAACTGTGCATATCTTTACCTTATATGTATGTAGCGGCTGGACGAGTTTTATATTAGGGGGTTTGTTTTCTATTAAACTGCTAGTGTTTGGATCTTCGTTTGGACTGCTGGTTGAAGTTTCTTGCAGGCAAGAAGTCATCAGTGTGACAAAGACAAATTTAAGCTCAAATAAGGCTGCAAATGGTTTCCATCTTCATCAGTAATAGAGACCAGAACAATGAGCCCTCTAAAGGATTAGTTCACTTCAAAATAAAAATTCTCTTATCATTTACTCACCCTCAAATTTCAACCATATCGGTAACCAAGCAGTGATGAACCTCATTGACTTCCAGAGTATTTTTTTCCTAGCCTACTATGAATGTCAATGAGGTCCATCAACTGTGGTTACGACATTCTTCAAAGATCTTCTTTTTGTGTTCAGCAGAAGAAAAAATAAATCATACAGGTTTGAAATTTTAGGGTGAGTAAATGATGACAGAATTTTCATTTTGAAGTAAACTATTCCTTTAACTCCTGAAAAAATCAATCAGTTAGCATTCCCATTCATTTTAATGCAGATGGTGTAGACACAGAATCTACTAGCAAGAGCTAACAGGGCCATCTAGACCAGATAACTCAAAAACATCAGAGTAATACCTTTCAATTAACTTATGAAGAAGATTAAATTTTCTTCCATGACTTCCATACAATTAAATGAAGTTATATTAGGTAGAATACTGGACAGGTCATCTGGAATATCTGGCCTGGAGAGTGATGCATTTTCTTAATCTTTTTAAAAACTTAATCATTGTCTTCTTTTAAAATACATATTTTTTTAACATTCTTTAAAACCAGATAAATGTACTGAAGAATTGAAATTGACCAATAGTTTTTTTAAGCATGAAGTGTTTGCTAGTGTGGTGATAGACAGGATGGAAGCAATTGCAAGTGCAAAGTGAAGTTTATTCACAACATAAACTCTCAGAACAATAGTCAGAAAGACTGAAAACAACACTCTCAGAAACCAGACGAGGTCCAGTTAAGAAAACACAGCCAGCAGGAGAGCATGACGCAGGGACTGAGACGGGCAATCCAGGTGCAGGTGGTGAGAGTGCTGGTGGTGAGAGTCCAGTGGTGCGAGGCAATGATGTAATCCAAACGTCAGTGAACAGGAAACACGAGGAGAAATGAGAACACAGGAACTTGACGAGGGAAGCTTCAACAACGATCTGACAAACACAAGACGAAAGACAGAGCGTTAAATCGGTGACTGAATAGTCTACAGCTGTCGCTGATGTTGCCAATCAGCGGTAACGCCCACATGAAACAATCAGTGCACATGAGATACACAAACACACACAAGACCAGAATGAGGCAGCGGATCTACCAACCGTGACAGTACCCTCCCTCCTAGGAACGCCTCCTGGCGTTCCCCGACGAACCCACCTGTGGATTGTAATCATCGATAAGGGAGTGATCCAAGATGTCTCTAGCAGGTACCCAACTCCTCTCCTCTGGACCGTAACCTTCTCGGTCTATCAAGTACTGGAATCCGCGTCCCCGCCGTCTCAAGTCCAGAACGCGGTTTACTGAATATGTAGGCTCCCCATCTACAAGTCGCGGCGGGGGGGACGACACGAGCTTGATCTTTGACACAAAAGATTTTCTTCTGTACACCGGAGGAAGTTAGAGGCGGACTGTCAATTTTCGGAAAAATTGGTGGCTGGCACCCTAAACTACTCTCAAATGGAGAGAGGCCCGTAGATGACACTGGTAACGAGTTTTGTGCGTACTCAACCATAGACATTAGTTGGCTCCACGATGAAGGTTTCTTGGATACCAAACATCGCAACATTCTCTCCAAATCCTGGTTGGCTCGCTCGGTCTGCCCATTATTCTGGGGATGATAACCCTTAGACAAGCTTTGGGCAAGGGAATGAAATGTGCCGCCTTTGAAAACCTGTATGGTTAAAACAACTGTCATGCCAGTAGAGGGTGGAAGGGCAGTGATAAAATCTAGTGCCAAATCTAGCACTTACTAAACCAGGGTCTCGAAGGGACAGACAGCGGATGGAGTGACCCATCAGGAGTTCGGTTAGATGTTTTACCTATGGCACAAACCGAGCAAGTAGCTGTAAATACAGCCTCGGCCGTATCGGACCACCTGAACATCGTTCTGGGGGAGGGCAAGGCAATTGTGAATGAAGCGGCGATAGAAATTGGCGAACCCCAGAAACTGCTTCAAGGCCTTACAGGAATCTGGACTTTGCCAATCTACCATGGCCTTAACCTTGTCAGGGTTCATACGTACTCTCTCAGTAGAGACGATGCAGCCTATGAAAGGAAAAGACTGTGCGTGAAAAGTGCACTTCTCCGTCTTGACAAAAAGCCCATTCTCTAGCAACCTCTGAAGCACTCGTCGAACGTGCTGAACATGATCCTGGAGAGATGAAGAAAAAATCTATATGTCATCCAGATAAACATATATGAACTGATCAACCATGTCTCTCAACATGTCATTGACAAGTGCCTGGAAAACTGCTGGGGAGTTGGACAGGCCTAGCGGCATAACCAAATATTCAAAATGCCCCCTAGGGGTGTTAAATGCGGTTTTTCATTCATGCCCCCTCTGGATGCGAACCAAATGATAGGCATTACGTAAATCCAATTTTGTGAAAATGGATGCTCATTGCTAACTCTCAAAACCTGAAGACATCAACGGCAAAGGATAAGTATTCTTTACCGTGATGTTGTACAGCTCTCTGTAATCATTGCAAGGTCGCAGAGATCCATCCTTCTTTCCAACAAAAAAGAACCCCGTCCCCGCAGGAGAAGATTCGATGAACCCAGCCGCTAGAGAGCCAGAGGATTATGCTCCACCAGCCAGGGTTGGCCCAAAACAATAGGTGCCACAGGGGAGTCCATAAGGAGGAAGGAGGTGGTGAGGTGGTTTCGGAGTGATTGCCAGAGTTGAGAAGTGTGATGGGACCCGTCGTGAGTGAAATGTCAGGAAGTGTTTGCCCATTCAAAGCACTGTCGGAGATCTGGTGGGAGAGGGGTGTAAGGGGAAGGTGTAACTTGTATGTCAGATGTGAATCAATAAAATTACCCTCCGCTCCAGAGTCGAGAAGTGCCTGACATATGTAATCGTTGTTGGCCCATCTCAGTCTTACCGGAAGGAGGGTGGATGGTGAGGACTTCCCGGTGGAAATCCAGCCCAATAGTAGCCTCAATTTTACTACCGGCCTTGCTCTTTTACGTTTGTAGAAAATGCCCAGAACCCCCACAGTAAAGACCAAGGGGGTAATCCATCGACCCGAAGTTGAAGCCTCGCGGGAGCTGCCATCTTGTAGCAGAACTTCACTTGCGTTAGCATTCCCATTGACTCCCATTCATTTTGGCGTCACTTTGACAGCGAATAACTTAACATCTGAGGCGTTTGAAGACCCCATTTGTCCTTTATTTATTTCTAAAGAAACACGGGATCTCCGCCTTTGTCTCTCCTCCCGGGAAAGCCGAGCTCTACCCACATGCATGGGCTCCTGGTCGACTGCGGGTCCGACCGTGTTCTCTTCACTGCTGCCTCGAGCCCAAAAGCCTCCGTGATGATGAGAGGAGCGAGCGTGTTGCTCCAACCGACTGATGCGGGCAACCTTTAAATTATTTAACCTTTTATGGTTGCAAATTTACTATTTAAAATCATAAAATGTATTTTGTACTAGTATTTTTTGACAAGTATGGATCCCTAGCTCATTTAAAAGGAGATGATAGTGATTATTTAGGTCGACTCCTGGCATATCCTCTCAGCATACTGATTGTTAGGTACTTTAAGGGATATATAAAGACCTTTTGTTAATGATAAAAAACGTGTTGTTGTTACCTACTGTTTTGTACCAGCACGTCCAGCTATAATAGGCTCTAACGAGGGGCATAGTACAGAGTCATTAGAGAGCTGCTTTGCCAAGGGCCCTATAAACCAGCCTCACTGCAACCGACATGTGCGTTCAGGAATAAGCTTTCCAGCAGGTGTGAAGTATGAAGTGTTTAACCTGTTTAGAGCTCTTTAGAGTGTTTTTTGATAGTTATTATTACAGCACTATTATTTTTTTACTTATCCTATTCCTGATTCTTTTTGTTTAAAATGAATTATTCCTAGTTATCTTTATTTATTTATTTATTTGATTTTTTTTAATTAAAATGCATTCGAATGTTATATTTTATTAAATACATTTGAGAAATGTAATTTTTTTTTTTTTACATTTATTTTTTATAATTACATTTCATTATTTATTTGTGTTATCACTTTTCTTTTCACTTTCATTTGTTTATTTTTTGCTACCACAGGTGAGAATGTGATGTCCACCTTTCCAACCGAATCATCCATCAATCTCAGTGCTACGACAGATAATCAATTACAGGTAAATTCTTCTGATCTGAGGTCAGCCATTGCACTGTCTGAATCAGTTTCTATGTGTTTTGACTGGAGTCTCCCAAACCAGAAGAGAGTAGAAAGATAACAGCTGAAATACAACTTCATCACACATTACTCTAAATTCCAGGGTTATCTTAACGATTTCACTGGGCAGAAGACTAATGTACATAAATACAAACACATCTCCAATGAGGTTAGGCACTAAACTGTCTTGCTTCTCTCTCAGCGAAAGTAAAAATATAAGTGCTTGTGGTGATTTCGCCAGTATCTCATTACGAAACATGTTTGTCTTTGGTAGTCTGATTAATAGAGTTCACTAAAAAGACCACAAATACATAATGGGATTTCTCACTCATGCATCATTCTTAATCAAAACCACCCCAGCCTGCCTAGATAAACTGAAGTTTGAGGGGTTTTTTTTTGGAGTTTTAAGATTCAGATTATATAAAAATGTTTTTAAAAAATCATGACAAGTAAAGGTTAAGTATATTATACTTCGGTCCACTAATTCCAATAAAAATCATTGGTCTCCCGAACCAGTGTTATTTTAGCATCATTGACATACTGTTGATTTTATTAATATTTTGATTTTATTTTATATTTTATGTTTTCATTTAATGGGTTAGTACGGAAGCCCTGAACCGCAACCCCCCCCCCCCCCCCCCAAAAAAAAGTCAGTAAAAAAAAAAAAATCTGTAAAAAAAAAAAAATCTGTAAAAAAAAAAAATCTGTAAAAAAAAATAAAAAAATCTAGCATTTCGAGATTAAAGTCGAAATGTTTCGAGATTAAAGTCGAAATGTTTCGAGATTAAAGTCGGAATGTTTCGAGATTAAAGTCGAAACATTGTGCATTCATAACAGTGCGCGTCCACTGGCTCAGAGCGCGCGCGTGTGTGTGTGAAGTCGAACTGCCATGGATAAACCCAAAATAGTAGCTTTTTACTTTTATCTGGGCTTTCAACAAAATTCTACACACGTCACACGTGCTAGTGGCAGTGTTTCTGAGGTGTTTTCGTGCTCGTCTAGTCAACACTATCTGGGTCGAGAACACAACAGTAACTGTTCGGTCTCCCTCTTCACCGTAAATGCGCTCTGGATACATTTTAAGTGCATCATTCTGTATCCAATCATTTGGCCGGATCCTGTGATTTCCTAAGATTTAATAACAACTTATGGTTGAGGAGAGATTCTCTGATATGATTGTAAAGCACTTTGAGTGTAGGCATATATGAAAGCGCTATATAAATGCCCTATTCATTCATTCATTCATTCATTCATAAAGCTGGATTTCTCCATCCAGACTGAAAAGTGTTTTCCGTGTTGGTTTTCCTATAGGCTAAAGTCTATTCCGGCGCATTATATTTTATAACGATAAAGTAAGATAAGTAATTCAGATAAAAGTAAAAAGCTACTATTTTGTGTTTATCCATGGCAGTTCGACTTCACACACACGCGCGCTCTGAGCCAGTGGACGCGCACTGTTATGAATGCACAATGTTTCGACTTTAATCTCGAAACATTTCGACTTTAATCTCGAAACATTTCGACTTTAATCTCGAAACATTTCGACTTTTAATCTCGAAACATTTCGACTTTAATCTCGAAATGCTAGATTTTTTTTTTACTGACTTTTTTTTTTTTTTAGGTTGCGGTTCAGGGCTTCCGTAGGTTAGTTCACCCAAAAAAAAAAAATAAAATCTGTGATCGATTACTCTCCCTCATGTCGTTCCAAACCTGTAAGACTTTCGTTCATCTTTTTGATAAAATCTGAGAGATTTCTGCCCATCCATTGACAGCTACGCAACTACACTTTGACTCTTCAAAAAGTTTGTAAAGAGATTGTAAAACTAATCCATATGAATTGAGTGGTTTAGTCCAAATTTTCTGGAGGCTTGATTGCTTTATATGATGGCTTTTATTCAAATATAAACATTGATCAGTGAAAGTAAACTAGCTCAACTGAACCTGTTTGATGCATAAGAACAAACCTTATTGGTTCTTGTGGAAGCTATGGGAAAGTATTTAATTTATTGATTTTTTTTTTTAAATAATTACACACCTTAAAGGTCTCTGGAGTAAATGTGAACACATGGAGAACAGCAGTCACTGATTACAGTACACTTAGACTGTTGACCTAATTTGGAAGATAGTAAATTAAGTTGGTTCATTCAAGACACTGACATATCTTCTAAAGGCTCTCAGCGGTGTTTGACACCTCCTTTTACATGCCCTCAATCTGTCTACTCGGACCTCTTCCCCACGCAGTAATTAAAAGAAGGAGTGAACGTACACAGAAAATCACACGCACACAACACGGCCTCCCAGACAACACCTCACACACCCTTGGATGATTGGGTGTTACGAAGCAGACACAGACGTCGCTCTGGGATTGGCCATGTGCACACAGATGCACACACCCTTGGCAGACGTAGAAGAGCCCAGCATGAAATGAGGTGGAGGCTGAAGCTGTAAACACAAACAAATCCAGCACTTTTGGAACTATTGTTTCCCCCCAGACTCTGAGGAAATGGAAAGAAATCAGAGATTGAACAGTTACGCAAATGACAACACTGGCTCCTACTGAGTAAGGAGATCAAGTAGAAGAAAAGTAGAAAAATGGGGCAGAAAGGAGACCCAATATTTTCTGTAATGGCCGCATGTAGGGTAAAAGTTCCAGTAAAAGTGGCATTTAATTTTGCTCTTAGCATTGACATTCACAAATCCCATTAGAAAAAAGATTTAATATTCCGGTAGCTATTCTGGTGCTTGTTGTTGAATTTATTATATTAAATTATGGGAAACCAAACCACAAGAACACCGTTATATTCTGCCAATCTCAAGTCCAAGCCACGCAGAGCCGTTACATGTGATTGTGGGTGATTTTATGGAGTTCTTTTGACACATCCACCTTGTATTTGTGTGTTATAGATAATCACAGAGATGCCCCAACCAGCCTCCACAAAGCTGACAAAGGAAGTTCAGAGACTTCAGGAACCCATGCAGTTACAAGCGCTGGACCTTCTTCAGTCTCTATCGTTTAACCTTCCAAACAAGACTATACCTCAAGAAACAGCCAACAACCTTACACAGGTAAAGACGGGAATACAGAGAATGTTTTAGGATTCATAAAAACATCAAGAAAAGTTGAGGTAAAACAAATAAAAAATGTTTCAGTTTCTGGACTATTTTTAGGACACTAATCAAATTAATAGATTGTGTGATTATTTGTACAGAAGGTCAGATGTTCTTGTTCTATGAGGAACAATATGCTCTTTGGACCTTCTTCAAATCCAATTTACTCAAATCTAGTTACATTTGCGATTCACATTTCACTCAAATTATCATGCTGTTACTATAATTCGTCATGCATTTATTGTATTAACTTTTTTTTATAAATACACTACATTTCAGAAGTTCCAGGGGGGTCAGCAAGATTTTTTTAAAGAAATTAATACTTTTGTTCAGCAAAGACAAATTATATTGATCAAAAACTGAAAGTTAAGGCATTTAAAATGTTCAAATAAATCATTTTCTTTTAAAATTTCTATCCATCAATGAATCCTGAACAAAAACACTAAAAGGTTTTCAACATTAATAAAAATGAGAAATGTTTCTTGAGCAGCATGGAGTCATGATGGCGAAAATTAGCTTTATCATCACAGGAATAAATTACATTTAAAATGTACTGTATTATATTAAATGGATTTTTTTAAAAATATATTAAAATAGAAACAGATATTTTAAATTGTAATAATATTTCACAATATTACTTTATTTTACTGTATGTTGGTGAGTATAAGAGACCTCTTTCAAAAGCTTTTAAAAATCCTACCGACCCCAAACTTTTAAACGGCTGTGTACAGAAGGATAATTTTCAGGTGGGATGGGTCCTCAACGCCTTTTGTCTGGGCCAATATTGATCCCACCAATTTTTAAAACATCTCACGGCGCTAATACACAGAAAGCAGTTGACTAGCAGATAATGAATTTCTTATGTGTTCTTGTCTTATTCATTTCTCTGTGTTCTCTGCAGACTCTTATTTTTTCAAAAATCAAAACAATTTGAGAAATATATAGACCATTTCACAAAATGTAAACAACACTGGTCCAGAAACACTTCCTGTTTCAGTTTGTAACTGTTTTCTTTATTTCACATGTAAAGAAAACATCTTAAAGATGTTTGTTTAACTTTTTGATTCAGTTTTAAATGTTTTGTTGGTTGTATTTTATCCCAGCTTTTATGTAGTGTTAAAAAACTAAAACAGGAAGTGCTTCTGGACCAGTGTTGTTTACATCTTGTGAAATGGTCTATATCATCTTCAGTATTGCTTTCACGCACACATTTGAAACTCCTTTATTCTGCTCTGTGTTGTAGACTCTACTGAACAGTGTGGATGAGGTCATAACCGCCAGCGACTGGAGAGAAAACAATGAGGTACGTTTATTGGATGTATTAATGATTGATAGATAGAGAGATTCGATCAGTCCAATCATGAGTTGATCCAAACGAATCGGCACACTTTTTCCACATTTCAGTCCATCTTTTGTGATGTGAAATTAATAAGTTCTAACTTGGTGGGTCAAATGTGTTAAATGAAGCTGAAGGTATACACTTGATATCTGAAAGGGTCATCAAATTTTATAATTTCAGTTCGTAGAGTTCTGCAGGTTCTTACTCGTTAACCTCAGTGAGCTCTGATCTACTTTGCACTTGTCTTTTATCGTGGTTAGCAGTGGATTCCAGTGGTCAATGGTCTGGTGGAGACTGTGGATAAGGTGATGGTGCAGATGGCCTCCAAGCTTCGGTCCAGCCCACACTCAGAGGCTCCTCTGGCCATAGGGGGCAAGAGTTCTGTGGCAGGTCAGTTCACGCTCCAAAACATTTCTTCAAACTCCCGTTTCCAGAATAACTATTCTTAGAAATTCACTCTCCCTCCCTTATCCCTCTACATACCGGTACATGGCTGGCTTGAAGTATGTGGAGTATGTCCAAGTATGCTCATAGGGGGGATGTCTACCTAATACACATGCATGATTGCAGCACACAGGGTGAGCATCAAAATCAGGCCTGAGTGAAAGAATTTGATGCATGAAACATTGCTTTTTATTCAATTATATCGGGCAGTAACATCTCTATATCTGCTTTGTGCAGATTCAAAATAATTCAAGTCTCATTTCTCTGATAAGACTGTGTGTGAGGACCAGAGGTCACATGAGAAAACCTTTCCTGTTGTCTGAGCTATTATTGAACTGCACAGTTTCATTCAGCGAATAAACCATAAAAAACACAGATGAAATCACAGATGAAACAGAATCCCCCAAGAACAAGAGATGATGTTGAGAAAAGACCTCCCATAACTTCATTCGGGCAGCGCCCTGCAGTATTCTCGATTCAACAAAAATACTCTATACTTTACCAATACTAGTGAAATATAACAATTATGTGCCAATTTCTACATCACCACAAACATGAATGTGCTATTTAACCTTTATTTTAAATTACACTATGGTTCAGAATTTTGGAGACGACAGTAAGTCTCTTATACGGTTAATTTATTTGATAAAAAACAGTAAAATAACAGTAAATACAATTAAACATAATGTGAGGGATTATTATACAATTTAAAATAAGTGTTTTAATTTGGTCAAATATTTTTTTTTTGTATACATCTATTTACTCTCACTTTTTATCAATTCAACCATTGCTGATTGGTTGTTGTTGTTTTTTTTTTTTTTTTAAAAATAGTAACAAATTAAATTAAAACAATGCAATATAGCTTTTCAGTTCTGTAGCTTAGCAATTTAGTATTTTCTTCAATTACGTAAAAATTTCTTCAGTTTAGTCAGATAATTATTCAAGACATGAACAGTCTGTAATAAAAATAAGTTATCAAATGCAAACAGAACTAATATACAATTGAACTGAACAGTGTTGAAAGTGTTTACATTAATACCTCACAAAAAAATTGCACCAAAAAGTGCAGCCGCTTGTTACAGAGCATGCTCACAAAATGCATGTTAAACCAGCTGCCTTTCAGAATACAGTCAGTACTCAGCTTCACCGACTACCAAATTGTGCTTCTTTTTTACTTCCTAATGTAGTAACAAAGCAACAATATACTCACTATGAACAGTCAGTGACCCAACCCTTTTTTTTTTTTTTTCAAATGTATCTAGATTACTCTCTGATGAAGATCCCTCAGAACTACAATCTGCCCAGCTACCGGTTCCCCACCCAAGGGAAGAATTACATCTCAGTACCAGGAGAGGCCCTTACAATGCAGTGTGAGTATGCACATCTCACAAACACACACACAAACCCTAAGATCTGCTGGTGATCCTTGTCCTGATTATCCAGTGCCGGTCCAGAGAACAGTGCTCGTCTATGTCGCCCTTGCCACTGACTAATGGGATAAATCGTTTCTTAAAGAAACACGCTTTAATGCTTTTCCACTTACTAAACCAGTTTAACCAAAATGTGCATAATGGAACAAACAAAACCTGGATTGGAGCATAGACATATATGAAATGGACTGGATTGCTAAACAAACTGCCAATCATTTTGTTCTTTTAAATAGAAAGTTGTTCTGATTCATTCCTACCCAATTTAGCCCCTGATTATGAGTAAATGTGCACATACATTTCTCATTGCTTTTATACTCCTCTGGCGGCAGTGAAAGAACACACTGTTATTTCACACAAGGAAGATGAAGGACATTTATTTGTTGTCTGTCCGCTTCAGCCATAAACAACGCAATCAACTCTGATGACTTCCTGCTGCTCTCTAATGAAACCTGCCAATCTCACAAGCCCCTCCAGGAGAAAGCGTTATATAATTTGGAGTGGTTTAGAGCAGAATTGCATGAAAAACAGAGAAAGCGTAATGTATAAATGCGAGCAATAGTTGAAGAACGAGTGTTGCAATGTTTCCCATGTGGCGGCAGTAATTGTGAGGGCATTAAACGTTTTGTTTGTTTGACACTGTTTTGGGGTCAGCTCTCCTCAGCTCATCTGGCACAGTGCTGAACCTGAGCCCCACTCTGTTCATTATAAACGGTTTTAATAAACTATTAAAGCTCTATTATCAGAAATGGCACATAAACACTAGCACTGGCATTAGCGTGCCATTGAACTGCTTCTCCGGTGAAGCCGGACATATGGTACACTTCATTAACAGAACCAAGCAGAGCTTTTATACGCCAATTAAAGACAGCAAGAGAAGGAGCGCATTGAATCGCCGTGTATTCCCGCTGGGCCAAGTTTCTTTTAGTCTTAATAAAAACATTTGTAGAGAGATTTTGCTCCTTGGTTTGTGAGGTTATTGGCCCAATGCTCTTCTGAAGCCCAACTCAGAGGAGTTAGTTGGGACACAGTATTGCTTATTTGGTCCATTAACACCTGCAGTAGCACTAATAAGTTGTAAAAGCATGTTTCACAGTTAATATCAACTGCAAAACATTAGTAATTAACATTAATATCATATTTGAATATTAAAAAATATGAAATATTTATGTTGTGCAGAGTAGCTTCTTGGCCATTTTGTAGGCCTTCCAGTATAAGCTGAGAACTAAGTTGCTGAATCATGTTACTGCTTTTTTAGACATCAGTTAATCAAGACATTTACAAAAACTTCTCAGCACTCATTTTCGTGTGCCACCGTGAACAAAAATAAAACATGGATCTGTGGGTTTAGTTTGCTTCAAACTGGTTGTTGTTGATTGGCCTAGACTCATTTAAATGCGTCTGATTGGTTGCTGTGCTCAAACCCTGCAGAAAATCATGTATGTGAGAATGTGGAGAATACTTTAATGTAATACTGTAAATGATACTTTCCATTATTAATCACAGCAAGACTAATATTAGTGTAAATTATTTATTTAGTTAATTGTGCAGCCATAATTCAGACCCTGGTGAAATGATACTGCCACATCCAATGGTCTACAACAGTTATCAACATTATTTTACAAGGTTATTTACACAAATTCTGCTTATAGTAATTCTGGAGTTGGTTTTAAACTCAAAGGGAACTGGCCCTGTGTATTTATTTCTTAACGACTGAAAGATTTTTTGAAGTATAGTGTAACATATTTCCCCCTCACACATGTGGTGGACCCTCAGTCACACTCTTCCCGTGTGTGTGTGAACACACATCTTTCCTATTAGAGCTGCACCGAGAGGAGCCCATGCAGTGTCTGTGATAATGAGTCTATGCATTTCAACGGCAGCCCAACACATTCTTCAAAACACGCATACTGTACATAATGTGGGATCGAATGGTAATAGTTGTGTATGTTTCCCTCTACAGCTCAGACCACGATCGTGGGACTTTTCTACCACAAAATGCACAACTACTACAAAAAAATCAGCCCTCTACAAACAAGGTGAAGTGTGTATGTGTGTGTGTGTGTGTTTCCTGTTGTACATTGTGTTCTTGTGAGCATGGGCCTCTGTGTCTGATACTCCCAGTCATTAAAGGTATAGCGGAGGATTTTCTTTTTCCGGGTGGGTAGTCTATACTATTGGTCCACCTAAGTGTCAATCATTCTGGTGATATGTTTACGTAAGGCCGTCGTAGGCTACGTGCTCATCCCTATGTAGTTTTCACTTTCAGGTGTATTATGTCGGAGACGGAGTTACGGTTTCAGCCATTCCTTTGAAAATGGCTGAGGGTCGAAAGAGAAAAAATGTTTACTAAGTGTATGATAAGAAGAGAAAGGCCGCAGAATATAGAAACAAGACCAGAGAGATTTTGGGTGAATATCACACACTGGCGTGCGCTAAAAACACAGCTTGGGCTTCTCACGGATGCCGCAGTCGGGAAGATTTTACCAGACAGGTAAAGTTTGTCACGCTATTTGGAGAAATCCATTTGAAATCACTAGTAAAAGTTAATGGAAGCTACAATGCTAGGCCTGGCACGAGTCATGCACCGCATAGACACGGTAAACATCTCAATTTGTCTAAAGTAGCCTTTTGTCCAAAATGGTAAATGGTATCACGCTGAAATATTCTAAAATCTTGTGTGTTTATTATTACACAAATGCAACAAGCTACTTCTCCATATGCAACTATGTATAAAAATAACGTATTAACAATGAGAGATATTAGGTTAAGGACCAACGTAATAGCACTGCTTATATGTTGCTATGTAACGTAATTGCGATTTGCAAAATAGTTTCCTCAGAACGTATTTCGCGTGATACAGGGTTGCACATATCATGTCTTGAGTCCTCGGTCACTCAATCGATCAGTATAATAAGTAAATAAAACACGGAAGGGCATTTGACATGTTGTCTTTTTTATGAATGTTTTTTAGTTAGTTTAGAATTTGCAACATAATTGTGCAAGGCGTATAGACGTTCCCTCTCGGGAGCAAGAGTGTTGTGTTTGTGCATGTGCATTTTTTTTAAAAAATTGGAGAGGGCGGGTCTTCTCTAAAATTCTGAAAGATCCTCCGCTATACCTTTAAGTCAACTGATAACACTCTCTTCTAATCTTAACACAGCCGTGATCAGTACTTAACTTTATTTATTTATTTTAGTAAATCTTTTTATGTAACTCCACTGGGCAAAAGAGAGATTCTGCCATTCTCATTACCATTTTAATATATACAAAAATATATTTGCTATGGATTATACAACATTCCAGTGCAGTAGTGGTGGGTTACATTGTTAAAGGGTTACTTCACCCAAAAATTAAGTCATTAATTAATCACCCCCATGCTCTATCAACCCCGTAAGACCTTCGTTCATCTTCGGAACACAAATGAAGATATTTTGATTAAATTTGAGAGGTGGATCACTGCTATAGGCTCCCCCAAGGTGACTCTGGTGGCTCAACTATAAGTTTATCAAGCGACAAGAACACTTTTTGTGCGAAAATAAAACAAAAATAATGACTTTATTCCTTCTGGGCCTGAGACGAGAGTTTAAGAGATTTCCACGAACTCTTGTATGTACTTTCATAGGTACTTCTTTTGGATAAGTTCATTGTCAACCGTTAAAAAAAAGTAAATTCTATATATGTAATCCAGACGTACCACATTTACGTGCGCATATTCATTAATTATGAAGCTAAACAAATGGCAATACTGTTGCTGGAGACACATAATGATTGTTTCTTCTGTGGCTTTGTTTGGAACAATTTTTATTGCCAGAGCAAAAACAGATCATGTAACTGACAATATTGTGTATAAAATGTCCCAAAAGTATCGTGAGCTAAGTTGATCATAGACCATTGTGGCAATGACTCTACAATCTACTTATTCTTACGATGCTTTTGGGAAACGCAGCCCTGGGTGGTGGATCTGTAGTTCCCAGCATGTTTTGCAAGGGACTGCATTAAAAGAGTAAATTTAGGGATTAAGTGTTATTTTATGTGTTTTTCTGTAAAGGGAAGGATGTTGGTAGTTTATGTTAATGTTTAATGTTCATTTATGTTGGACATTTATAGGAGTTTCTGTTATTGAATATTGTGGTTACCATTGTGCTGAAGAGTAGCGCTGTCAATTGTGATTTTCACTTTGATGCTACATAATGTATACAATAACTCCAAATCACAATTTTCACAAAATTCTGAGATGCAGGTGCGAATGTGTAGAATGTGTCCATCCTGAGTTTTATTGGAAATTAATGTTTGGTCAATGAAACTCAATCAAGTCAATCATGTTAAATAAACCTGATAAACCTACACAACAACAGAGTCAGGTAGAAATATCTCCTTAAAGCAACATCTGCACACTTTGTCCAATGTGGCATTAGCATAATTTTCATTGCTCATTCTGTAATGTTAACAGTAGTTCAAGTATGGATAATAACTGACTGTCCATCTCTGCAGAATAAATGAGGCGGCGGATTTTAAAGATTGTAAGATCCAGATGGCCAGTCATCTTATTTCTCTGAAGGTGGAGCCATCTCCTGTCCTGTCACTCAACCTGTCCACTGAGCCGCTCATCCGGATCGTCTTAACGCATCAGCTGGTAGGAGAATGTGAATCCAACACTTCTTTTTGTTCATTTTCATGTTCATTCAGGAGTGTGGGAAGATTGTGAGCATATATTTTTTTATCAAGTTTATTTTGCTTGAGTAATATGACAAGCAGGGCCAGAGTGAGACCAAAAAATCTACCGTAAAGTTTCGTAGACCACCGGCCCTCGACCGGATTAAGAGTTCAGAGGCCCCTGGGCACAATGTCTTGTAGGCCCCCTCTTTGGCTGGCCAAATTTATATTTTGTCCAAGGACATTTTAATACGGAATTTACAGTTTTACTGACTTAAAAGGAACTTTGTTGTACTATGCTGGAGTAAAGTTCATAAATGGTCGTTCTTTCCCATAGGAATTTGTAAAACTATTTTGAGTGGACCTCTGTGCCTTGGGGGGTTCAGGGCATGCTTCCTTTGTACATTTTAAGGTTAAATGCATCAATCTCGTGCTTTGAAAGATCAAAATTAAGAGCTTCAACCCATGAACTGCTCGTTAAACAAATGAAAAGCATTTATTTGTACCAGGACAATAAATAGGGCTCAAACATCTTTTTATTTATGAGAGTCTCAGTCTACATTACATTATCATTAGTGTTTTAGGATGCCAAACAATTATTATAACAAAGTAATAATGATTCATATAATTATTCTTATGGCGTAAATCCATATAGCCTATAAATGTACTATATAGATGAAAATGAATATTTCAAAAGTATATTTTAGCCTACATTACACTATAATGTAGGAAAATGAAAATATTGTTGTCTTAATTTCTTCCCTTGCAAGAAATAAACCCTTGAGCTTTTATTTGGGTAACACAGTCTCATCCCAAAAAGTCATATAACTGACGTTTTGGGACGTATTTTGACCATACGTCAATATCCGCCTTTTTAGGGCCCCCTTAAACGTCGGTAGATGGCGATCCCGGGCCGTCATACAACTGACGCTTTACCTTTAATGTCAGTTAGGTGACGGGTTAGGTTTAGGGTTAGGTTTAGGTATGGGGTAGAGTTAGGATCCCATAACCTCATCTACCGACGTTTAAGGGGGCCCTAAAAAGGCGAATATTGACGTATGGTCAAAAGACGTCCCAAAACGTCAGTTATATGACGTCTTGGGATGAGACCGGGTTGATTTGGGAGAAAACACCAGATAACCATGCTAAATCTGATTGCATGAGCAAAGTGCACACTTTTCTCTAAATCACCCAGCACAAACAGGATTCTTAAAGTCTTGTGCTGTTTTATAAAGGCACAAAGCCATCATGGTTTCGATTATAGTTTGTTGGCAAAATATAACGCTAGAGACCTTTATAGCCCCTTTCACACAGAGATTCCGGAAAATACACGGATAATGTGACCCGGCATTTGTCCTGGGATTGTTTGATTTTGGTTCATTCACACTGCCAGTGATTTGCCGGGATCTGTGAGTGCTTTCACACACAACCCGTAAAGATCCCGGAAAGACACATGACGTCAGGATGAGACGTGTAACGTATGCGTCAAAAACATGTACATGCGCATACCGTTCCACAAAGCTGGTGAACGATTTCAGCTTCAGCACGGATAATGAGGAGCTCCTGGTCTCTGCTTCGCTCCAGTTTACAGACATTTGTTCGTCCTTTCTTTGTTGATGACGAACACAAACTTTCTTCTAAGAGCAACAGAGTCGTGAGATGGCATGAGCATCATCACTATAACACACCCCTTATGGCATTGGTCCTGGGTTTTGTTCACACAGTGCGTGTTCCGGGACTGATTCCGGCAATGTTACTAGGTCCCCAACCCGACATCAATGCCGGTATCAATCCCGGGTCGTGTGTCACACAGAAGGCGTTCTGGCAATTTCCCAGCAATTTCCCGGGATCAACGCGCTGAAAGGGGCTTATGTTAGTTATACATTTTACATCTCATATGTGTTGGGAAAAGGAAAATAGAGAGTGCGGCAAAAGGCGGATTCGGGTCGAGCGCATCAAAAGCTGCTTTCAAGCACTTCACGCCCTACGCCACTGTAGCTATTTTGTGACGGGCGTCGTTTTGCTAAAAAGACAGGCACTTAGTGCAAATATACGCTCCGTTATCGATCTTCCCTTCGCTTGGGCCCCAAGTGCACATGGTGAACTTGCAATCAATACATTTTATCAGACCGGCCCTCGCGGCCTCGGACCACTACCGGCCCACCGGGGTAACTCCCGACTCTTCCGATTGCCACCCCTGGTGACAAGTAAAAATTGTGTACAACGACAACTTTAAGATCAAGCAGAAAGTTTTACCAACCATTTAATTTATTCTCATTCTAAACTAATGTACTCACGCTCATCAACCAACATCTGGTTTTCAGAAAATCAGGTTAGAATTAATGCATTTAACATAAATTAATATTTATTACCCAGTCTGGCCTAGCAGTCCAGCACTGAGCCGCTGGTAAAAAAAAGTATAGTGTCTGATGAAAGAAGGATGTCTTTTCTTAACATTTGTGGTCTGTTTGATACATAAATCTCTTCTGAGACTTTTGTCTAACCAAAATCATTCCATTATGTTTCTTAAATGGTACAAAAATTATACTTGATATGCTGGAGGAAAATGTTCATGGTGTGTGTGTTCATGGTTTTGTCTTTTGGTGAGCTGCGTTACACAAGAACCCCAGAGGTCAGACTTGTCAGGACTAACCATGGAAATCCATTTCGGTTTGCATCATCCTCTGCACTTTTTTTTCAGTTCTGAAACAGCGAGAGTATTTTGCCAAAAGAAAAGTGGTTCCGAACGCTGGAACCTTAAGCCTTGAGGTCTTTTGAGAAGGGAAAGATGATTTGGTTTAACAAGGAGCTTATTTGGCCTGTGTGCGCAGATGGTACGACTCAGTCGAGGATGCATCTGTCTGCCAAATTTCCATGGGAAACCCATCAAAAATGGATACAGATGGCATGTAGACAAGTTAACCAATACAGCATGTTTTGGGGGATATTTACTGTTAAAAAAAAACAGTGAGGAGTTCACTGTAGCATTGGATTTCACACACCACATTACACACAATATCCATCAACTAACCCACATTTTACAGCTCGCTGTGCTCTTTACCATTACATAAGATCTGCTAAACCTTTTCAATAAATAAATAAGCTCATATACAGTTTAATCACATCAAAGAAAAACATTTAAACCTATCTTACTAAGTGGTCGTTTCTTTTTTCATTGTTCTTTTTAAAGCTTTTTCGATGTTTTCCAAATCAAAACCATGCTGGCATGCATGTAACTATAGAAACAAACATTTGTTTTGCTGGCTTTTAATGGTTTTGGGAGAGATGGTTATTTCAGTGATGTTTGTTGGTGGAAATGTGTGTGTCTTTGTACAAAGACCATTATGCTAATTGCTAAATGAAAAGAACCTGCTAAAAGAGTAAATCCAGAAACACTACTCAAACACAGATGCAAATGCTTTTAGCAGGGTCCCATCAAAATATATGTGCATAAGACTGACATGACACCTTCATAACCATGACATGACATATGTCTTGAATATGAAGTAGGGTTTATGCATGTTTATGACAACTGTCATTAAGTGTCTTTCGCTCAATAATGGCATTTTGAATGCAAATATGACAGATGTCTTTGTCATGACATCTTGACATAAACCATAACATCATAACCTGTCAGTGTCTTTGTCATGACAACTTGACATAAAGTTAAGTTAAACTGTCATGTGGTTGGCTTTGACATTGGCTGTCATTAAGGCCATTATAACTGTGTCATGAATATTTTTCGTGACCACAACTACAGTGCTACCAATTGAATTTGTCATTAAAAAGTTATAATGGCTTCATGACTGCCAATGTCAAAACCAACCACCTGCTACTTTAATGTAATGTTAACCAATAAATCTAGGTGGTTTCTTAAGTTTGATAATTAATCTGCTAAGTCATGTTTATGACAGGTTGTGTTGTCTTAGTAATGTCAAGTTGTCATGACAAAGACACTGACAGGATATGATGTATTGGTTTATGTCAAGGTGTCATAACAAAGACATCTCAGACAATGTGACATAAAATGTCATTACTGAGTGAATGACACTTAATGACCGTTGTCACAAACATGCATAAAACTTCATTCATATTCATAACATATGTTATGATCATGATTATGAAGGTGCCATGTTAGTCTTATGCACACCCCTTCAAGTAAAGTGTTACCAACTGATCAATAATCGTTCAGAAATTACAATGACTAGTATGAATTGAAAATATGTAATTTTGCACATCCCCACTACACATTAGGAAAATTGACACCAGACATTTTAATTTCCTTAGGTCATAGCTTAGTTTAAATGACTGTCTAATTAATCTTGGGACACTGGCTTCCTGTGTGTAGGACTGTCCTGAACAGGGACAGTGTTTCATGAGTAATGTGTGAGCTGAATCACTAGATCAATATTCTGTCAGTGTCAGTGATGGATTACCGTGATAAGACTGTTTTTAAGATAGTTTTTGTGTTTTGGCCACTGGCTTTTTAGGTAGAATGATTTAACAACTGTTGAATATTTGTGAATAAATGGTATGTCGTCCTTGGTTTTTTTTTGGATGATGTCAGCGGTTCTCATGGTAAATTTCCCCTGATCAGAGCAAGACTTCCAAAGATTCATTTCTAAATCTAGTCAACTATTTGGTCTGAAGGAAATCATTTGACTATAAAGCTGAATTTTCTGCATCATGACTCCAGTCTTCAGTGACATGTGATCCTTCAGAAATCATTCTAATAAGCTGATCTCTTGCTCAAGAATATTTCTTATTATTATCAATGTTGAAAATAGTTGTGCCGCTTAACATTTTTGTGGAAACCGTGATACATATTTTTTTCATAAATATTATTTGATGTATAGAAACAGCATTTATTTTCATTTTTTTTACAGTGTAAGTCTCTACTGTCACTTTTGATCACTTTAATGCATCCTTGTATAAAATATTTTAGTTCTTACTCCAAAGTTTTGAATGATAGCATGAACA